AAACAAGATTGCAAGTTTTACTGCTAAAATAAAAGTATTTTGTTGTTTCTGTAAGCAACTGACTGGCTAGAAAATAACTTTGAATAAAAAGGTTCAATCAACCCATTTCACATTGATGTAAGTGCAGCATGCTAGTCTTAAAATAACTAAAAGATAAACCATCCTTAAGCAATTATTTTCCTGAGAGATTCTGCAGGGATTGGGTGTTGTCTTGCACTGTTTAATGTTGTGTTGTTTTGTTTTAAACCATGGTGTGGATAAGATCCTGAGTGATGAAGTTTGCAGCTGACACAGAGGTTGTAACTGTGGTCAGATAGAATAAGAACGACTGGCTGGCACTGAGTAAATTGTGACTTACATCCAGAACACATGTCAATCTCAGAACACCAGACCTCAGGATGATGTTTGGTACCCTCGGTACCTGTAGGACCATCAACCTGTGTTAAAAACATTCTAGGTCTGTTTACAGTCCCTCTAACTCCCAGCAAGGCACCTGCCACCTGCATGGCCTGTGTGTGCACATGTCAGAAAGCTGGCAGGCATTTCTGGACTGACTTCTCAGATGTTGTGAATCACAGTCATCCTGACTGCACTGGGTAACCATGCAGGTCAGACTTGGAGCATCAGTGACAGAGGAAATCAGGTAACACTGAAAGGTCCTGGAGCAACAGCAGGCATTAGCCAGTGACAAAATGATTGTGGCATGTAGCTCTGTGACAAAAGGAGTGAGATCCTTGTATCCACAAACAGGAAAGATTTTGGAAATATTGCCTGAGCTCTTTATATGGCTCTTCATGTGAGTGACTTGATGGAGAAGGAAGACTTGCACAAGTCTCAACTTTATTCCCTGAATCGCCAGTTATTATACACTTTTTAATAAGCTCGTGCATAGTGCAAAATTCCAGCTCACCATTGGCTAATTAACTATCAGCTACCTACGTGCTGTTTTGTGCATCTGCTACTGCTTTCCCAAGCTGTTTTGCTATGTTTTCCTTTTACCACCTGTTGTTGTACATTCGTCTATCCATGGGACAAGGACACAGTTTCATTTGGAATGGCAGCTCCCCTCATTCTGTATCTCGGGCAAATTAATCTGGCTGTGACCCTTATCCTGGAGCCAGCTTGTTACAAAGCTCTCAACAGTGACTTAATCACAGTCAGACAGGGATGGATCTGGAAAAGGACCAGGTGCCTCAGAAGGGGTGTAAGCAGACTCACACCATCAATTACAAAGGTATTTGTTCAGCAATTGCTAACCTTTGAGGCAGTTAAATTGATGTGGCACTTCTCTCTTGTGCTGCAGAGATCCCTCCAGAACCTACAGTTCTGCTCCTATCCTGACCACATATCTCTGCTGCTTATCCCTGCCTAGGGCAGATCAGTCTCCCAAATCTAGGCAGAGATTGCAGTTCCTGGAGCCCCCTCAACATGCCCAGTGAAACCACCTCCACCACACCCTGTCATACACCACCCACAGCTCTTCTCACCTCCATGTACTTGTTCTACATTAAACTGCCCTGAATGAAATCTCTCCAGGAGCAGAGCTTGTTCCTGCCTTTCCTCTCCATGCCAGCCATGAGCCCTGCTCACAAGTGTGATGTGCTTGTGCCGTGTTCCTCAGCCCTGCCTAGGAAAAGCTCCAAGCAGCCCCTCACTCCATGACCCCCGCTGGGTTTCCTGCACAAACACCCTCAGCCAAAGCAGATAATGGGGGTTTGGATTCCCAGTCAGGAGCAAGCACACAGCTTCTGTGATTGGATCCAGCCTTTAGCAAGGAAAAAGGCATTTGGCAGCAGAGGGCTTCACCTTCTCAGAGTAAGGCATCATGGAATTAAAAGGCTGCAGGATGAGACTTGGAAGATTCAGACATTCAGACTCAAGGCAAAAAAAGAAAAAAAGAAAAAAAAAAAAAAAAAAAAAAAAAAAAAAAGGCAATGCAAGTAATTAAAAAGTGGGAGAATGGGAGAACATGCTAAGGTTTGTGGCTGGTTCTTCTGCACTAAATATTTCACAGCAAAATGTGTTTTTCTCAAAGGGATGTTCCAGTTCAAATGGGAGTGAATTAGGTCAGGAAAGTTCTCTGACCTGAAGCAGATAGAAGATCATGGAATCCACATACTCCCTCTAGTCTTGTGATTAATTCCCTTTGGTACATCCATTCCTGACATGGGATTGCTGGGACCTGTGCTTGCCCTCAGGAACTTACAAAATAATTACATTTGTTGTGTCAACCCATTAGATACTCATAGGCTGCATGCAGACTCATTAGTTAAACTGAATTATGTATTTGCTCTTTGAACGTTATCAAAATATTCAGATCTAGCATGTTTCGTGGTCTGCCACCACTGCTGCTGCTTTGTACACAGATTTCTGTGGTTACTCCTGGCTTCCCAACCACAGACTTTTCATGCGCAAATGCCGGTTTCGGTTATTTCACGGGTTGAAACTACGGAGGCTGATGTCATCCTGGTCTTTTAATTTTATCTTGCTTTTGATGAAACCCTTTATTGTTAGATTAAAAAACAATAAATATTTGTTTCAGATCTCATATATTAACTTTGTTTTAAAAAACCTGGCAGCCCAGATTCCTGCAGAGGATATAGCTCAAACATCAAGGGCCCCTGGTAGGTACCTCCACACCTGCAGTGCCTGCAAATGAGCCTGGTCTGCAGTCTCTCCCAGTGAGCAGGGTGTTCATGGAGGGTGGGATGTGATAGGAAAGTATAAAAATAATGCAAATTCATAGAGCACTTGGATTCTCTGCAAGTAATCTGTTTGTCTTTGAGCTGGGTCCAGACTACCCTGTATTTTCCTAGAACACAGGTAGGCAATCAGACTCTTGCTGTGAAATCCTTAGGTCTCTCTATCTCTTTTGGAGCCTGGAGCAGTCTGCCTCATTTCTTGTCTTTCCCCTTTAAGAAGAAGCAATCCACAAGAAACTGGTCTTGGGAGAGTTTTGAGATGCCACTACTGTCTTCCAGCTGCAGTGATGTTCCTTAAGGCTCTAAAGGTGTTAATATCCATCAGGTGTCATGTTCCTGTGTTCATTCCAAGCCATTTTCCCCCCATAACTGTAGGAATATCAAGAGCTATCCCAGAGCCATGCTCTTCAGTCACCTTTATGGACCAGTTTATGTGTGCTGGTATTGCATTTAATGTGTGAATAATAGTTTTTCAGCACCTAAATACTTTTCCTGTAAGGAAGGTAAAGGAAAGCAGGGTAGGAGGATTTTTAGTTAATAAGACTGTTATTTTTTGCTGACAAGATCATTGAGTATCTTAAGAAAAGGGAATCTGATCTCCTTCCAAGTAACTAAACAGGAATTTGCATTCCAGAATATTTGTGAAGCATGTGTATTCCAGGAAAAAAAAACAACCCAGTACTTGTTGTCACATTGCCTAGGGATTTCAACATCTGTGTGGAAACATTGGTGATCACACAGTGTCCATTCTTTATGATGACTTGATTATTTTAGCTCTGAGCCAGTGGAGCAGTACCTGAAGACGCTCTCCTGCTAGACCCTCCTCATGTGAACTCAACCTCATGGCAACCCCTCTCTTGTGTTTCAGATATTCCTAAAGCTTTCTCTAGACTGGGAAAATAAGTTAATAATGAAACAGGTATGCAAGAACCATGTTCCAGCTGAATGGGGTTTTTACACGCAGATGTTGCTGAGGCGAGCATTGGTGGAGGCCTAGAGGCATTGTAAGAGTGCTCCAGATGTCTTGGCTCTGAGAGATGCTTTGGCAGCCACTGAACGAGGGTTGGAGATTGATTCCTGTTCCTGCAAAGCTGCAGTGACAGAGCACACATGAGTTTCACTGGCTCTGCAGATTCATTGCTCTCTTCTGCCCTGGGACCAGCAGAACTTAATGCTATGAGGCCTGATGCTCCCTAATCATATGGCCCTGCACACAGCTGCAGGCACTGACTGTGCCAGCCACACCACAGCTCCAACACGGATGCCACAGCCTCAGCCCTGTCTCTGATCCCACCTGGGATCAGGAGATGCTCATGGGCAATGAGATTTTTGGCCACCTTTTACACAGGAGCATAAATTTTTGCACAGCATTTTGAGCACTGTTGGATGGGTCCAGCTGAGAAAGAGTTGCTACTGCTGGTGAAAGCCCAGGGGATGATGTGCAGCCTCCCTGTGCTCCAATGCATGGTACCTGCACACCCTGCTGCCAGCTGCAGGTCCTGGACAAAGGGGCAGAAAAAAGGGCCAAGTACCCACTAGGGAGGAGAGGAAACATTTCACTCACTTAATTTCATAGCTGTCAAAACTAGTCTTAAACTGGAGCTAGAAAACAAGTGAGAAGAAAAGCATTGCTTACATAATCCTTTGGCAGTGGAATGAATCAGGGTTCTTGTGGGAGAAGAGGAATGCAGTTTTAAAGGAACAAACAGCATTCCTGTAGCTGGTAGTAGCTGGATAGTCCTGCTTTCCTGAAGAGCAGCACAGACATTTACCATGGGTTTATGTGCCTTGTCTTTTGTGCCCATGGTCTCTCCTCTGCACAAACCTCAGTAAAATGGAACATTCCTGTTGTTTTCTTTAAAATAATCTGTAATTCCTTAGCAATAATACAAAGGGAGGCACCTATCTGTTTGGTTTTGTGTTTTTTTTTCTCTTTTCCACAAATGTCCTTGTTTGTGTTAACTAGCAAATCTAATCATCCAGCTCACAGGAGAGTTACACAACCCTCCTGAGATTTCACTCTAACAGCAAGTCTTGCTTAATACTCCCACATTTGCTTCTTGCTTCAAATTTGCAGCTTCTTTGGCATTACAGCTATGCTCTTTTAAAACAGATTAAACAGCAAAAGGAATGCTGAATGGAAAAGCTGTGTTATTTCCACCTTGCAGGACTTACTGAAATGATCCTGGCTGGGTTAAAACATGAGCTGAAACTCCCACAGGGAGCATTAGTCTGAGTGATTCACATAAACACTCAAAGAAGTCAGTCTTGGTTGAGCTTCCTAGTCAAGGTAGGTAATAGTACACAAGCAGCAGAGCCCCTCTCCCCTCTCCTTTAGAGAACACTGTTGATAGAAACCTCCTGTTGTTTATTCTCACTGGGAAGCAGCAAGATGAATACTGGGTAACAACAGAAAACTTGGGATTTGGGTAACTCTTTCACACTAGGAATTGGGAGTACCTTTTCTGTCAAACTGCCTAGTGCTGTGAAACATTTTTCCTCTGTACCCTTGATGTAGGTCATCTGGAGATGAAAATCTCATCAACCTCTTGAAATGCAGCCAGGTTTATGATCACTTTCTTTTGCAGTTGACTTTTAACGGAGATAATCTTTCTGGGAGGAGGTCTGAAGAAAGGCAAGTTGCAGGTACGTGCATTTCATGTGTCTTGGTAAAGGTGTAGATGGAGTTGCTTTCTTTCTCTCTGCTCTGCACTGTCTGGTTTCCAGGAGCTGTCACTCATCCCACCCTTCCTGGTAGCTTTTTGCCATCACCCATGGGCACTGTGTGGGGTCTAAACCTGACCTGAGCACCAGTGCTGCAGCCACTGGCACCACAGTGGGGTGGTGTGAACAGCACCAGTGCTCCTGGGCTCGCAGGGCTCCCCTGCTGCAATGTTGAACTCTTCTCTCTATGAGCTGAAAAATTGCCACAGCCTGGGGCATCTACCTGCATGTCATCTTTTATGGGCAACTTCTGTGGAGATCTTCTTCCCTCAGCTTGCTTTGAGCCCTGCCTGCCCATCCTGGCCCGGGCTCCTCTGTTGCAGCAGCTTTGGTGGTTTGGAAGCAGCTCTAGCATCAGCTGCTGCAGGGATGCTGATAGAGCCATAGCTGAAACAAAGCACATTGCTCAAAGTACAGAGCTGGGGAGCCAAGTTTCTGCAGCACTTCCAGATGTGAAGCAGGGGAGTTGGGTTTAGCCTAGTTTTCAGATTTTTTTTTTTTTTAAAATTTCTGATTCTGTTGTTTTTTGGGTTTTTTTAAGCACGATGCAAGCACACTGAGAACAATTTGTACTGTTCACTCACATTCAGCTGCATGTTCCCAGTGGCAATCACTTAGCATATTTTCTAGCTAAGACTCTCCAATCAAAACCACATCTGTGTGTTGGAGCAGACTGGCAGTAGACACCTTTTCCCCTGAAATCCAAGGAAAAATTTTCTTATGTCCAGTTTGTCACATGTGTGACTTGGCCTCCAGGTAATCCCATCCTCACAGACCACTCCAAGGATGAGGAGGGGAATGTCTACAGTCAATTAACCAGGAGGCAAATTCCTCTTAATTCCACTTTGAGAAGTTTGAACTGAATAAACTCTGTGGGATTTTGATGAAAAGTCCTCACGGAGACATGACTGCTGAGCAACTTCCTGTGTGGATACCTGGGAGGAGATACAGAGGCTGTTGGAAAGTCACACAGAGTATTTATTTCTGTGGGGAATCAGGAGCAGACCTGAGCCTTTATCCCTGTCAGCATACTGCACTGGTGCTTTAGCTTCTCCTTAATATACATCTTACCTTGATTTTGTCCTGCCTGTAGTTTCAAGCAACCTCCTTAACAAATCCTCCAGAATCTCCTGGGGAATTAAACATAAGTGTGAGGGGGGGTTTAAGTTCTGAGAGCAACTAAAAAAGCTTCCATTACAGCTTGTCAATGCCTCTTTTCAGGTGATAAGAAATGAGTGTGATGATGCACTGGTTGCCGCTGCTCCTTCTCCTGGTCAGCTTTGGCTCACCTGCACCCAGGTTCTCGGTGTGTATCTTTTAGCCATGCCTGTACACTCTCTCAATGGTTCACTATTCCCAGTCACGCAGAGATGGATACTCCCCCACAGGAGGGATGGGGAGCTGCAAGAGCAGAGCAAAAAGGCATCTGCTTGCAGCTAAAGGAATGTTGTCCTGATAATACAGGATTTTCACAGCATTAAGGGCTGTACAGCTGTCCGGGAGACTAAACTGACACTAGTAAGAATTCAAAACAACAACAAAAACAGCAACTAAAGTATCTTTTTAAAAAATGTATTTTTATAGTCAAAATATCAGCTCTTTTTCAGTTTTACACAAAGCTAATTCTGGAATCTTGCTCGTTTCGCCCATCTGCAGTGCAAGAGCCAAGTTTTCCCTCTCTTGTCAACCTGAGCACTTTCATAGTTTGCAAACCTTCCTCTTGAGCTCATCAAGTGGGGTCAAGACAAATTATTTTTGTCCAAAGTAAATTTTTTGTACATCTGACCACATTCTGGCATGCTCTGATCAATGCCAAGGTTGTTGCAGAAACACCTTTTCTACTGGTTTCAATGCAACAGCTCATGCTGTGCAAGATTTGGACATCTTAGGAAGAGATCACCATGAAATCATGTTGATCCACATAGGCAGTGTGAAATGCTAGGGTCAAAATACTCCTTTCTCTGTGTCTCTCCTTACCACTGACTGAAGTGTGGGGGGGGTTTTGTTTTATTTTCTCCATAGGACAAAGATATCTGCCTCCTAGACAACAGTAAATTAAGACAAAGGTTAAAACATCTTCAAGACTTGCTTTACTTATATGAATTGCAGCTGAAGGACATACTGGAGAACACATACCACAGAACGAAAAGTGAACTGTTCTCAGGCAACAGGAGCATGCAGCATGAGACACTTTTACCCACAACCAGTGGAAATTTGATAGTGTATGACCAAGGTACAGTTTGTAGTAGTGTGCCACAATGTTTATTTCTTCCTGCAGTGTCCCATGTGTCATATTTTATGTCTGCTAAAAGTTTAAAATTTTTTAAGTGGATTGTGATTTAAAATACAGATACATGGGAAGAAGAGCTTACTGGTTGTCCTGACACTAAAGATATCCCTTGGGGCTGGAGTCACTTATCCCAGCTGTAGGCAGCTATTACCCAGGTACAAAATGGACATCTTCAGCTGGGCTTCTTGCCTGCAGAGAGGAACAGTCATCTCTCATGATTTCCATCAGATTTATTACCCAGGTACAAAATGGACATCTTCAGCTGGGCTTCTTGCCTGGAGAGAGGAAGTAATCTCTCATGATTTCCATCAGATTGACTTTAGGCAACTGCTTTAGGAAGAGATGGGTTCTGCTCTTAAAGAGCCCATATTTCCTGGGTGACTTCGGGGAGACCAGAGTGCCTAGCTCAGCTGCAGGCGCTGAGACCTGTTTGGATGAGCCAAGCTTCCCTGTTCCTCAGCTCCCCCATTACTTCTTAGGAACAGGCATGCATGCTTTGTTTCTTGGTGTTACTTTGAGAACATGCTCATAAATGACCGGGGAGACCAGAGTGCCTAGCTCAGCTGCAGGCGCTGAGACCTGTTTGGATGAGCCAAGCTTCCCTGTTCCTCAGCTCCCCCATTATTTCTGTGCACAGGAACAGGCATGCATACTTTGTTTCTTGGTGTTACTTTGAGAACATGGTCATAAACATAAATTGTTTCCTGTGGCCAAGATTTTAGCCTTTGGGCATTACATTGAAAGAGTGAAGCATTGAGATCCTGAAAGGCTCTCTCCTGATACAGCCCTGGTAGAGCTGGACACAGGAGCTTAGCCTATTATTTTAGAAATATTGTTCCCTGATCTTATCAGAAGTACAGCTGAGGGTACCTTACCTTCCACATGGAAGTTTCCTTCCCTGCAAATGATCTTTCTGACAGATAAAGTTTCAGTCCCAGGCTTTCATGATATAGCCCCAGGCTAAGCTGCAGCTGTCCTGCATCTCACCAAGGATTTGGGCATTATTCCCTCAGAGGGCATGGCTCTCAAGCCTTAAAGCTATTAGTCAGGCTGGCAGTTTGCAAACTGGTGTAGCTACTTCATTGCTGCACCATTTCCTTTGACTTTACAGGGCTTGCAGAGCTATGCACAGGCTGGCCAAGTGTCCTTGTCCCATACAGCCTCTCGGTGACATCTTCTCTTGGTGGCACATTGCCCTTGGCTTTGCCCCCAGCCCATTTAACAAACTGCTACTGTTCTGCCCAGATTGCTCTGCAGTGTATGGCCGGAAGAGCACCACAAGTGGCTACTACCGGATCAGGCCCAGAGCGGAGCGAGAGCCCTTCCTGGCATTCTGTGACATGTCTGATGGTGGGGGCTGGACTGTCATTCAGCGGCGCAGTAACGGCAAGGAGAATTTCAACAGGTGGGTGCATTGTTCTTGCATCAACAGGCCTTGCAGTCAGGCCACCAGCTCCTGCCCCAGTCCTGCTGCCAGGCAAACCCCCACCCTTGAGAAGCAGGATATGCAAGACTATATATTAATGATGATAATTTAGGATTAGAACAATCTGGTGGTACCTGTTGGCAGCAGGGGGCCATTTTCAAAATGGATCTGTAACTTCCTTTCCGGAGGTTCTCTGCATTTGAATGCATATTTTATCATTATTGAAGACTGTCAAAGGCTCCAAATTGGCAGGTGTCTGCTACCAGTGCACAGACTGAGACCTGTTGAACAGATCTGTTCTGATATGAGGAATTATGTTCAGCATGTTGTAACATTTATTATCGTGTTCAGTTAATTTTTTAAAATGCCAAACCAGATTGTCCTTTTCCTGTGCAAAATCCCAGAGAGGTGACTTTCATACTGAAATTTACAGGAGGAGAGATGCTCTGGTAGCACAGTTCAGAAGAAATGTCCCCATGAAGGTTAATTCACTATCACAGTACACACAATTTCAGGGCATATCTAATGCCTTCTAAAGTCTATGCTTTAAGTTACTTCTAAAGTCTATGCTTTAAGTTAAAGTCAAAGTTACTACAAGTGACTCTAAGCCAGTTTACCCAGAGAGTGGTAGCTATCTAGCCATGGTAGTTCAGATGAAATAAAAACATCCTGAAGAGGAGCATTTACGAGTATGAAAGTCAGGCAGAACGAATATCCATAATAACAACATGAGAGAAGGAATAAACACAGGGTTACTAAAACTCGAAATGATGACACACACTGAAGTATATGAGAATATCAAAGGTAATACATAGATCAGGTTAATTATGACTTGCTGAAGAACAGTATCAGGTGTTTTGCTGAAGACCAATATGACAGCTGCTGCTTTCCCTTTGCATTTTACTGGAAACATCAGTCTGTGAGCACTGCATCTAGCAGTTTGAAGGTTTGATCCCCATATACGTGTGTGCACAGGTTTAGCAGGGGAAAACTGTGAAAGTTGTGAGTTGTATTTACTCCTAGATGAATCAGATACTTTTAGAAAACAGTATCTAGATAGAGGTAAGTTTTACTTGTTACCATACTCAAGTGTTACAAACTGTCTAATTCCCTCTCGTGATGAAATTCATATCTATCAATTTTTCTCTGCAGGAAATGGGATGATTACAAACTGGGATTTGGGAAATTCCAGGGCAAGAATGATGAATACTGGCTGGGCAATGACCACATCCATGACCTGCTTGCTAGAGGTCCAAGTATTTTTTCTCCATAGATTTCTTTCTGATTTGCATTAGGTATTCATCTAACATGACACAACTTTATGTTTAGGAGAGAACTCATTAAAGATTGACCTGATGGACTGGCATGGGGAAAGACGTTATGCAATCTATGAAAATTTCCAGCTTGCAAATGAGCAGGTAAGAAATGGAGAGAGCAGTGATTTTCTTCCTTTGGTCTGTGAGGGTGGGGCAGCTGCATACACAGCATCACACCAGCATCAGGGTTGTATCTACAGCTCTGCAAAACTTACCTGCTCTGGTTTCCTGGGCTTCCTAGTTTGTCTGACTTACAAACAGCCCTGGGATCAGGGACATAAACCTGGGACTTTTTCCTTACAACTGAGTGTCCAGGTCAGTGGGTGACAGGATCACACATTTGTGCCCTCTTGCTAACTGTGCTGCTGAACAGAGGGCAGTTCCCTGGCATAGGGTTCCCACATGTATTTGCCTCTGGCCTCATGATTAAAGGAGTCTTCTGTGAGTGAGAAGACCCTTAGGGTTTGAACCTCTGCAACTAAATGGAACACTGTTCTCCTGCTTTCTAAGAGTGTTTCAGACTGTCACACAAAAGGCAAATGCCAGAGCAAATCCTCTCAACTTTGTTTTAAAATAAAACAGGGAATTCTAATCAAAGCTTTGCAAGAGCAGTTGCAAGTTCCTATCTTGAAGAGAGATATATGTAGCGCTATACCTACTGCTACAGACACAGAAAGCTCAGACACATCCTGTATTTTCCGTATACGTAGTGCTATACCTACTGCTACAGACACAGAAAGCTCAGACAGACACATCCTGTATTTTCATGCTGTGCTTTCTAGCTGTAGACATTGTCCAGCTCCATATAGGTGCTGTTCTTTGCAGACGTGCCTTCCTGAACACCACATATAAGTAGCCCAAATAACCAAGGATATTGCATGGACCAGTTCTAGTTCCAACTCCATCACTGCTCCAGAAATGTGAACATGACACTCAGTTTGCAATTAGAGGTTTCTTATGAAAAGTTTGAACAGATGCATTTCAATACCTTACTGCCATTTTTCATAAAGAAATGAGGCCAATGATGACAGGAGAAAGCCCACAACACAAATGTGACCATCCACTTAATATCAAATATCTCTTTGACCTGTTAGCTGTGCACAATGGAACTATTATTCTAAATATTCCTACCAGGACCAGATAATAGAAATCAGATGGCTTCTAGTGCTTGGAAGAGCAAAATGCCTAAGCATTTATTCTAGCTGAAGAACTGTTCTGTTTATGAAGGCAATTACTTGACACTTGGCAGTTTTCTGCTAAGTTGTTCTTGATCAGCTAGAAAGAGCTTTCCATCTTGCTGTAAAGTGTATTAAATGGTTGTTGAATGACAATAAACCTGGGGCCTTCTGTAGCAGCAGCAGTAATTACCAATCCCTTCTGGAAGTTTAAATCCTACATTGATCTACACTAGGATCATTAAAGCATGGAGACAAAAGTCACCCTTGGCTTCAACAGGCATGCCTTTGACAGTGGATGAAATGTACAGAGCTAATTTGGCTTTAAAACTGTGAGGAAAGGCAGAAAGAATGGATATCAAATTAATGTTTCACATATTCTTGCAGGAAAATTACAGGTTATGGTTTGGCACCTATTCTGGTAATGCTGGCGACGCTCTGTCTGGTGGGAGTAATTTTGAAGATCAGTGGTCAGCTTCTCACAGAGGGATGCAGTTCACCACATTTGATAAGGATCACGATCAATTCCTGGCTGGCAACTGTGCATCAGAGAACAAGGGTGGCTGGTGGTTTAACAGGTATGGAAAATAGCTGATTCCTCTTGGATGTGTAGGTTGTGGGTGGCTGCACAGCTGAGAGGACTTGCCTGCCTTACAGCAGCTGGAGGTTGCTGTGTGCACTTGCCACCTCACACAGCCAAACCTAAGATGTTCAGACCTACAGATCCTCAAAGGAAAACAATTTACTACTTTTATTATAGCAAATCAGGTAAGTTGAAGTCACTTTAAGAAAATGGTTCAGAACAAATGCACAGGGGACAACGAACTGGAAGGAAAAGAGCTCAGTTAAAATTCCTGAAAGTGGTTTGTGTTATACTCCAGTGAAGAAAACAACTGTAGTCATGGTAAGCTGAAGTGTGTACAAAGGACATTTCCCTAGAATGGAGCATGTCCAAGGGCAGAGTTACCCCATAAGTTATGAGGGTATAATTGCTGTTTGGGCATATGCCACACATCAATGGATAAGGACTCGTGTTTAACAGCCCTGGAATCCGGGATGTTACACTCTCAGATTTTCTCTGCTTTAGTGCAGGATGAGCCTCTTAGACCAGATTCTCATCACATAACAACTGAAATCAGTGGAGCTACAAAAATTTACATCAGTAACAGGATTTACCTCAATGAAAAGACATCTGCATTTTTAGGTGTCAATATGGAGCTGCCTACACTTGAGCTAGAGCATACCAAATGGCACTACACCGCTTTGTTCAGGCCATGCAGTTCCAATGCCCATAGTTAATACACCCAAAGGAGTCAACAGGCAGAATTATCTCACCAGTGTAGGTGTCTGCTTTAGGATGACCCACATATTGCTGTGTTCCACTAAAAGCATTAACCATTTAGTCCATCCCACGCCGGTATATCTATATATATGTTGTGTGAGAATGGTACTTCACTGCAGTGATGCAGTATCTTCTCATGCTAAATAGAATTCCCTTTTTGTCTTTCCTACATTGTTCCAAGGTGCCATGCTGTAAACCTCAACGGGCGATACTACAAAAGAGGGAAGTACAGTGGACCCCATGATGATGGCTTGGTTTGGTCTACATGGCACGGGATGTGGTACTCACTGAAATATTCAGCCATGAAAATCAGGGCTCCATTCTTTATCGATGGAGAGAGCGGAGATGGTGACAACAGTCAGGGCAGCTGAAACCTGCTGCTTTGGAAAGAGAAAAAGCACAGGCTGAAAAGAATGGTGTAAGTTGATAGCCAGTGCTCTGCTGCTGCTGATCACCAAACCTGCACTTGATAGCTGGAGTTGCACCTGCTTCTGCTACCTGAAGCTAACGGCACGAGTTGTTTGAGCACAGCCAGACAATTTAATAAAAAACATATGGATCACAGTCACAAGAAAACAAGATTTATTTTTCAGCAGTTTTCAAGATTTTGTTGAAGAATGTTTATTGAAAGTTCTCTGGACTTAGAAGGATCAAGCGTGTCCTTTAATCAATCTATACTTTCTAAGGTATAAACCTTTCTCATCTTGATTTTAACCATCAGTGTTTCAGTTATGAGAATATCAGGATAGAAAGAACAAGGGGACAGGGAATTGGACTTCATCTGTTGTGCCTTTGTTAGTGCTTTGCTCTGCATCAGGAGAATGTTTTTAAGCAACTTTCCCTATGGTTCTAATTGCCACACTTCAGTTGCAGAGTGCTCCTGGAGTGTGTGAAACCAAACCTGTGGATGGACATGCTCCAACTGCTAGTCTGCATCCAGACTAAGGCTGCTTCAAAGTAAACACCCGCAATATGGACAGTGTGAATTCCATTCCAGTAGCTTCCCACTGCAGATCCACTGCTATAGTACAGCACAAGACTTTAAAGCAGACAAAGACAATCCTGCCAACCAGATTTAAACGGCAGATTAAAATTATGCAGATTTTACTAAAATTAAGGTGAATGCAGATATTCCTAGGAGTTCCTAAAATGCAGTCACAATTCATATATTCTCCTGTAATTTACCAGATGACTTTGCATTAGTGAAGGGGAATCAGAAAGTGGTTGAACCACAAGGCACACTGCTTTCATTGTCTCACTGGGGTGGAATGAAAGAGCAACACAAATTAAAGAAATGGAATATTGAAAATTTATTTTCTACAGCTGTTAATAACAACAGTTAAAAATGAACAGCAGTATCAGCTTGATGCAAATAATTTAACTACCATGCTGTAGAATAAACCTGTTTCCCTTTTTTCTGATTTTTCTAAATTTTTAACTGGTATTACTTTTCCGTTTATTTGCTTTTATATCCATACATACTGTAATTTGTATACATATTGATAAAGAGTGAAATAAAACCATCTGAGTAGGACTTAATACGTTTTATCTAGTTTTCAACAATAGGAATGTGAACAGAAATCTGGATCAAAATCTTGGAAAGCTCATAATAAAAGAAATGTATTCTTTCAGTGTTGGCTCTGGTGCTTTTTCACCTGTTGTCCTGGGTAGTTGAAAGGGTCTGCAAGGTAAGTTTAATTTTCATGGCTCAAGCTGTCCTGGAGACAATGCAGAGGCATGAGGTGAAGATTCAGTTTAAAACTTGGTTTGGTTCCTCTGCTTCCTAGACACCCCAGTGACTGCAAGCACAAACATCCCAGCGTAATGGGCAGCACTCCAGGGAGCTGTGCTCCATGAACCTGTGCCCTTGGCTAGACTGCCCCCAGCCCTCTTCTCAAGCATACTCATGTAGAATGAAATTTTCACCAACATGTCTGAAATGAGACATCTTGCCCTTGTGAAGAAAGGGCTGCAAAAAGGCAGCACTTACTCACTCCTTCCCTTCTGATCACTGCTGCTGTATTTTGATAAGGTAAAATCTCAGTGCAAGATAGTAACTGCATGTTGGGACATAAGGAATGACTTTGCACAAATTGTAACTGCATGGCCCCTGATAAGTGCTGAGGGCAGAGAGGATAATTTTTATTTTGATGACACTGAGAAATGTGAATGAAATAAGTTCATGCCTTCTGGCAGTTGATGCTCAATCCCACCTTCAGTAAAGAGCTAAGGAAGTAGGGCAAAGACTGTGGAAACTACAGCACTTAGGGGACAGCATTGTGGTGTGGCAGTTCATTAAGCATCTGGTAACCCATCTGATAATGGATTATCAAGCTGGAGATGAAGTCAGCAGGACTTAATCAGACAACCAGCACCCAGTCCAGTTCTCCAGTGTGTGAGCAATGAGTGATGTAAAGTCCAGAGGATGAAGCCTGTTTCCCTGTGTGTCAGTGTGGAGGGGCAGGCATTAGAGCTGGACTGCCTTCAGCCAGCATCAATGTCAGGGCATTTCTCCTGTCTCTGAGAGGTAAAGGGAGGCCAAGGTATGGCAGGCTGCGAGGGAAGAGGTTTGCCCTGCTGCCTTTGATGTAAAATGTACCTAAGTACATCTATTGCATAACACAGCCCAACACTGGGACAACTTTGCAGAAAGCACCATCTGATTAAGAGCAAAGTTGCCCCTTCTCTGTCCTTCTGTGGCAAAGGAAATCTCCTCTGAGATGCAAGGGTCACAGGGCTCTGTGCAGGAGCCTCCAAATCCCACAGCAAACCTCAGGAAGCATTTCAGAACCACCTTTAATCTTAATAAACAGGATAGAATGCCACTAGTTGAGTACTTACTGGATCTGAGTGCTACACCAAGCTCCAATCCCTCCCTCTGAAGGTTTAGGGGAATGCTTGCTGAATATTGCTGCACTGACCATTTGATCTCCCGTTTCTACAGGGTCTCTCTCCCATGCTGAGAGGCTCAACAAAGCTTAAACAGATACTGTAGCCCTGCAGCTCCAATGATGATGGATCGCTGCCTCAGGGAAAAGGTACTTCACACCACAGACCTTAACTTAGTACAGGCAGGGTAAGTAACCTGAGCTGCAATTGTTTCAGAGGTCTGCTTTCCAGCTCATTTAAGTCAATTTAAAGACTCATTACATTTGATTGCCTTTGGATAACTCTTCAAGCGAGAACATTTTCTTAGATGATTTAAACAGCTTTTCAAGCTGACAGTTCATGGGAACACATTGCTGGTACCAGCACCACGCAGGGCCAAGGGCTGAACATCGGCATCTTGGCAAGGCTCCGGGGAAAGAAGGAGCTCACATCATGAAAGACCATCAGAAAGGCCATTCAAACAGCCAGATTTGACTCTGGTGGCCAAATGCTGAGGCTTGCTCCTCCTGTGTTGTTACAGCAGGTAACACCGTGTGCCTGTCAAGCTATCTGTGCCAGCTTTGGACACTGCAGTGGGGTGCTATCGCTTACACACAGCAATGCTGCTCTTCCTTTAAAACTGCTGTTGGTTTGTGGTGGAGCAGGACTGGGGGGAAGAATGTGGGATTGGGAAATCTCTCTGCTCAGAAAGCCAGTTTTGAGAAAGATAGCAGCCTCCTTCTTGACAATGGAGCACATGCTAATTTTGCTTTCACACCCACAAGGCAGGTTAAAGGGCATGTGGGGTTAAGCTCCTTAGGGGAGAGTTGATTTCAGTCTAATAGTCCACTGCCTAAACCTTTCTCCTCTTACACCAAACTCCATGGGCAGCATCTTCTCCTTTTTTTCTTGTTTCTGCCCACTAGCATTCCCCTGGTCTTTGCAAAGTCCCCAAAGAGACAGTTATCTTAACAAATGGCAAGAAAAGTCTTAGTCATTCACAAAGGCCTGAGCTCTGCTTCTGCTGTTAACTGGAGTTCCAACCCAACTCTGAATACTTACAGCACTATCTAATGTCAAATTTGTGATGTTTGGTTTTAAAACACAACAAAAAAGCCCATCATGGCTTTTGTAGTTCACTGTTACTGCTCTCTACAATTCCCTGAAGGGAGGCTGTAGCAAGGTAGGGGTTGGTTGGCCACCTCTCCCGGGTAAAAAGTGAGGATCAGAGGAAATGGCCTCAAGTTGTGCCAGGGAAGATTTAGATTTGATATGAGGGCAAGTTTACTCACTGAAAGAGTGGTCAGGCATTGGAACAGGCATCCAAGGGAAGCAGTGGAATCACTGTCCTTGGAAGTGTTCAAAAGGTGTATGCATGTGATTTAGTGTGTTCACCACTAAAACATACCAGGGGTATGGTTTAGTGGTGAACACAGTGGTGTTACGTTAATGGTTGGACTTAATTATTTTAGAGGTCTTTCCAATGTAAATGATGCTATAAGATTCTCTGTGAATCACCAGATATTGTCAAGTCATTTTAATTTTTTGTTCCCAGGACAGGTATTAATCAAATAATCTTCTTGTTTGCTGGTTTTGTTCATAATTTATTTTGAGCTTGCCATAGTAGTATTATGGTCAATGTATTTGCATTTAAAAATTTTAATAAAGGAAAGGATAACTATGGAAAGGATGCATAATTCAACCGTTCTCTCACTGCTTTTTACAGGTAGCCTGCTGTGGTAACATTTCTGTGAGGACTAAAATCTGATAATCTGTTTTCTTTGCCCTCCCTGTAGCATGCCTTTTGTACTGATTTCCTGCAAATATTTTTACATTGTTTTCTTGATAAATATTGACAGTAAGAAAATATCAAGTCTTGAATGATGAAAATGTCTCCTCAATTTAAATTCACTCAAGTATTCAGCATCAATTGTTTGCACTTTCATGCAACCAGCTAAAACACCCCTCACCATATGAGTTATTTGAGCAACACCTACAAATCAATGCAGTTCACTGACGACTATCAGAAAAATTATAAAAACTGCCCACAGATTGAGCTTTGTGCTTTCTAGATGGGAAATGATTCACTAATCAGGGCAGATGGCTGAGGGTGCTGGACAGTGGATGCTTCAGTATCTCACAGTCTACCAGTACACAGTAGACAAGGTGGGAAATGTCAGCGGCATTTATCATGTATGATGCACAAAACATGACTGCTTTACACAATAAAATCTATTGGCCATTCCTGCGCCACACCTTAACTAACACCTTCTTTCCCAGGGTACTTTGTGTGTCTTGTACACACATACATACAAAAAATAATTATATGAAAGCACTTTTCAGTAATTAGAAAGGAATATGTTCCCACAAGCCAGACCTGGGGCATTACTCCCTGCTGCTGTGTGTGGAGGTAACGTGATTCTTGCTTTTTCTTTCACCAGAAGCCAACCGATCCTGCAGATCCTCTCCCACGCACGCCACTCCTGCAGGGCTGCAATGAGTCACTCAGATCACCAGCTTCTCAATGCTCAGAGTACTTGTTTCATCTTCTTCATTTGAGCCAAAATACCCAGGGAGGTCGATCATCTGCTGCTCTGCCTCCGTTAAGCCAAAAGTAGAATTGTCATAAAAGGCAAACTCAGGGTCCAGGGGGAAGCTCTGGCACTTGTCCCTTCGATACTGGGCAGGGCTGACGCTCAGGCCTCTCTGGGAATTATCTTTGCCATTTGGGCCGGTCTCTTTCCGCCACACGCCTTTGGGGTTAGGTGAAGGGCCCCTCTTACTTCGGCTGGGTTCAGGTTTCTCAGCTGCCTTCTCCTGACCAGCAGGCTGGCGATCTGTGATCAGGTCCAGCTTCCTCACTGGGGGACCTGCCCTGTGGTGGGGCTTTGCGCCATGGCCCTGTGGTTCACACCCCAGCACAGTGCCGTGGGGCTGATCCAGCTTTTCACAAGCTGCATTAGCGTTTCTCGATTTTGGCCGTGTCCTGTCCTCCAGACCCTGGTCCCACGTCCTGGTCCTGGAGTTGTAGAGGGGAGTCTGTCGAGGTGTGAGAGTAGACATGCTTCTCTCTCTGAAAGGCCTGGCCTTTTTAGTTTCATGGAAACTGGCTGTTCTTCTGAACTGTGAGTTTCTGTGACAGCCCCTCTCAGGCAAGTCCACTCTGTTATCTTGGTGCTTGAAATGACCTCTTCTTACCAAGGTTTGGGTAGGGCTCACTGCAGGATTGGCCTGTGAGAATGGAAAATCCAACCTAGGGTGAGAGCCTTCTCCCAGGAACTTGGGCTGACTGGCTGGCTGGTCCAGAAATGGAGATTTGATCCGAAATTTGTTTGCTGCTGCCTCCTCTTGGTTTTCCCCACTCAGAGGAAGCATCGAGGTGGCACCAAGAACCGTGTCAGTGAGAGGATTCTGAGAGACATGGTACACCTTAGTGGTCTCCGTCAGGCCTTTCTTCTTCATCTCTTTCAGCTGCTGCTGTGCCAGACGGTAGCTGAAAATTGGAGGGATTATTTTTTGGGCATTTGGCTGAAAGCTTTCACTTCCAGACACATCATCTTCTTGGGCAAATTGGAGGCTTCGCCTGTAGGTTAGGGGAATGTTAACAGGGGCATCCCCTCCTTCAGCAAAGCTGTCCCGTTGCTTGTTGCCTTGGCAAATGTTCTCCTCATCTGAGTTTTTCCGGAAGCCGGGGGAATGGACGGAGTTTCGTCGGACAGCGGTGCTGCACTTCTGAGCTCTGCAGAGCTTCCTCCAGAGAGTGATAAGAACTGTGGCAAAGATGATGAACAAGCACAGGGAGATACCTGTGATGGTAACTATATTATTTGCTTTCTGGTCCTCTCCTGGCTGAACAGAAGGTGGGGTGGGAGGCTGGACAGCTGTAAGAAAGAGCACACACATCTGTCAGAGTTGCACTGGCAGCAGCATTTTGGTATTTGAAGATGGATACTTCACTACCAAGGAAAAGAAGCCATTAATACAGTACAGGAAGTTGTCTGCCATTAAAATTTGCTCATTGGAGATTACTTATTACTTGATGACTTCAAACTGGCACGAACATCTATTTACTTTAAACCAAGGCTCCCACAGATCTTTTAAATGCAATCATTATTTTTTCCTGTTCTGCTATTTCGATAAGGTATTACTGAAAATTGAGGAACTCTGTTTGCCTTTCTTTATGAAGTACATTTAGATTCCCTGTTGAAAAGTGACATAAAGGGGGTAAAAATAATTCAGCCCAGGCTAGTACTTCAGGTATCACTTTAAAATTATTTTTAGGAGAGCTTAAGTGGGTGTGAGAATTGAAATGAATTTGAAGAGAGAGGCAGCACCAGGAGAGGCAATGTAACTTTTCTAAGCAGTCCTCTGAGGATGCTTCTTCTGCTGTCTGGTGCCACAGTCCCAGAGGACAAAACCTTCCCATACCACAGCAAGCTTTCAACTGAATGTGTCATTGCTCATTCTCCAGCATTCTACTACCATTCTGACACCCTTCTGTTGTGGACTGGAGATGGGACTTTGAACAGAGAAGAATACTCTGCAAACCTTTCTTCACTGAGATGGTAATTAGTCACTGGGACAGGTGTCCTAGGGAAGTCATCATGGCCAGAATTCACAGGCTGTCTGAACGATGCTCTCAGTCATATGGTTTAGCTTTAGTAGTCCTGGGGGAGCAGGGAGTTGGACTCTATGATCCTTATGGGCCACTTCCAATTTGAGATATTCTATGATTCTAACCTGTAATGTGACAATCTCAGAGCTGTCCACAGCCCAGTTTAAACCTCTCACTAGCCCATTCCACTGCATTACAGAGGGCTGAACCAATGACAAACTGGTAATTCTTTTTTTTTTGAATGAGGTCTCAAGCATTTCAGGGGCAATCCTGAGCAGAATACAGCATGGTCGAAAGTGGTCAGTAGCTAATTTTGGTATCTGTTAGCATTGGTCAGACATGAGCTCCTTAAAGCCATGAGGATTTTGTTGGAGGACAAGGCTGGTTAGCTGCAGTTGACAAGAGTTGGCCAAGAAGGTGTGAGCTCAGATGAAACCACCAAACAACCCTGTCCCAGTTTCTAGTTTTATCCAGAACCCAAAGCCTTCCATCAGACTGACAGCCAGCTGTAAGACTTGGCAGGTGCTCCTGCCTGCACCACAGCGACTGTCCAGGAAGAGGAAATGTGACTGCAGAATAATAACTGGACACCATGTACTTCCCATAATTCAGGAGAACACACACTCAACAGCAAGCTGGTAGCGCAACTGTTAGGTGGGCAGGATGCACAAATGCACTGATAAACACAGGCCAGAAGATCTCAGGCTGCTACAGAACAGAAGTGCAGGATGCTGGGCTGGGAAGGAGATCCACTTCCCTATTTCAGGGCTACCCAACAATCCCAAGTCCTCTAAAAAATCCTGCCATTGAATTAACTTTGATCTTTGTGTCACTCTGAGAGCTTGAAACCAACTTAAAGAACAAGACCACTGCCTGCTGAATCTTATAGGAGGATCTCTAAAATTTGCATTCAGCCCAATGCCCCTCTGCCAGAGCCCAGAGCACTGCTGCTCTGGACACCTGAGTGGGGAGTGAACAAGCTGGCCTCAGGGAAGCAGGCATGGCCAGCATTTGCTCTACTCAGCACCACTGCAGCAGAGCAACTCATTTCTCATCCTTCTCTCAGTCGTGTTTGCTTATGGCTATTTTCCAAATACTCCGTTCTCTATTTGTAATGCACGCTGTGCTGCATTGTTTGGGGTACACAGCTAACAGCAAGGAACTGAGAGGTTCCAAACAGGACTGGGTCCCTATGGTTCCCTTCTCCCTGCACCACATTGGCCCCTGCACCCTGTGCAGGCCTTGCTCATTCAGCCATTTGCTCCATCTGCTGGACTAATGTCTGCAGAGTTATGCTGGAAACAGAACCTGTCTGCTTCTGAAAGCTGCAGACAGCCAGAGTGGGAAGGGTGAGGGTGACACTCCCAGACTGAGCTCAAGCAGCGGATGAGTACTGTAAAGTCAGAGTGTCAAACCACTTCTTGAGCAAGCTGAGATTCAATGGGATGAAATAATGTATGTGATTCTGTAAAGGAAGCTGCCCCATGTGGGAGGAGGAGGATTAGAAACCATGTACAAGACAGAAGGGAGGCATTTCCCCCAGATGATCCCATGGCAATGGGTGCAGATGCAGGCCTCCTTTTCCTCCTTGCTCTCTATGTATTAACCTTCTTATTAACCTAGAGACCTCACTGGAATCTGGGGATTGTCCAGACCTGCTGAGTCCAACCAGACTGCCACAGCTGCGTGCACAGTGTATGCACAGGGTGGTTGGAAACCATCATACACCTTTTACAGCTGCACACCTGCATGGGAGGAGTGACCCCTCTGAGAAGCACAGAGGCCTGTCACCTCCATGCATGCAAAGCAAGGTCCACACCCAAATCTTGTTTCCAGCACATGCTCTGCATGCAGGGAACACCCTCCAGCGAGATCCTTGCACCAGGACTGCTCTCTGAGCTCTGAGCTCCAGAGGTGGGGAGTGAAAGTGGCTGGTAAGGAGCCAAACCAAATTATATACTTACAGACATACCCCTCCAGAAGACAGACAGGAGGCATGGGATAGCACAGCTCAACAGCAGCTTTGGAAAAACACTAACAACCCCACTGCATTTTGGTGGTGGCATTGCTGTCCACAGCAGCCTCAGAGAGTTTGGCATAGAGAAGACAACTAGAGCAGGGCTGGTTTAAACTGGGGACCCAAAGCATTTAAATTGTTCTTCTCTGCTTTCACTCAGAGCTTTACTAAATAAGCTAACCCACATGGGCAGCATTTTCAAGTCATTAAAAACATTAGACCTGTTAAAACATTCCCAGTGCTTCATGACCACTGACAACATGTAATACTTGGTTTGATAGAGTACAATTTTTAGTATTTTCCATTCAAACTTTTCCATTTCCAAACTTTTGTTACATACAACCCATTTCCTGCAGTGTTCCACAACACATTTCAGTCCTGCCTGTATATTTCTGAGGCCTTCATCCTGAGATGCTGTGAAGCCGGTTCAAGCCAACACTTCCACTAAAAACATAGTCCTTCCCTATTCCTGCTCCAGCTGCACATTCTCTCCCCCTGCTGTCCTTTCCTTTTCAGTGGCATAAGCACCGCAGTGGCCATGGGCTAAACAACTCCCCACATCCCCAAACTGCCCATTTTTTAGCTGCTTCTATTCCAGTTCTACACACTGCACTTTTGCAAACAGAAAGAAGCGCCTGCAAGCAGCCAAAGCAAGGAGTAAGGCTTGTTTGTCACTTTGTAATAGCTTAAAATATCTGTTAAATTTTAGTCTGAGATCCTCGGAGGCTGCATAGTTCCTAGGTATCTTTCCTTCCCCATCCCTGTTGCCTGTGGCACCTGTGGGACAAAAAGGCACTGGAGTTTGTAGATCAGCTTTCTGTTCTCTGTGGTCCCTTGGCATCAGCACACTCCTTTTCAGCAGGGAGTTTGCAAGAAGCAGAAGTTTTGCACAGACTGAGCATCTGTACTCTGCTAAAAGAGGGCATTTCTCATGCCCCTCAACAATGGCTGTCAGCACCCAGCTATGGTGCTGGCACAGCCTCATCCAGCCTCACTGGAGGCATGAGGCTGCTGTAATCCACCTTATAGAAGGCTCAGGTCTCTCGCATCTGCACCCACTTGCAACCCACCAGCAGTGGCCAGTTGTTTCCGATAGCTAAGGGTTTATAAAGGCTTTTTAAAGCCTCACCTATCAGTAACAGCCAGCCTGCCCTGTCACAGGCCAGCAGCAATGGCAGGCTGGAGCAGGGGGAGACCTGGCACTACCACCTCAAAAAACCCACAGAATGGTAAACTCACACCACAGGTCCCAGCTGGAACCAGCACCCTTTTTTAACTGACTTTAGCTTTCTAATAGGTTTCCACTGGAGGCTTTGGCTTTCACTACTGAACATGTTCTGATAGCCTCAAGATCTCTCTTTCAGGACTTCTCCACTCTCTGATCATCCTGGAGGTTTTAAACTACTTCTGTTGCACCCATGGCATTCAGAAATAATATGCCTTGGAGCCATATCTCCAGTGTCCCACAGTCAAAGACAGAGGCTCCTGCCCTACTCCATCAACTACAGGAATGTGACAGCCCCCCCAGATCAGCATGACTGAAAGAGAGATGGGATGTCTCCATTTTACACTTTCCTTTTGCCAGGGCAGTCACACAACCAGGGGAAGAGGACAGCAGAGCTACATACACACACACTCCTCCAGTGAGCACAGGGAAGTCTCCCTTGGCGATCCAGCGCAGCCTGGTTTTGCCGGCGAGGAGGTGAGGCACTCTCGGAAGCGCTCCCGGATTCCGTCCCCACAGGTGACACTGCACGGGCTCCAGGGCTGCCACCGGCTCCACGTTTCTACAAATACACAAGCTCACAGCAATGAGGAACGTGCCTGACTCCTCACCTTTAAAGACACAGCCATATGTCTTCTTTTTGAGAAAAACAGCAATAAATAAAACCAAACAATGCAAACAGCAAGACCAAAAAAGAAAGCAGCATCCAGTGATGAGCCAAAGCTTCCACTTGTTGTTTTCCTTTTTTCACCCCAGTGTCAGCCTGCAACACAGTGGTCAGTCAACTGGCAGGCAGGTTCTGCCTGGAAAAACAGCAAAAGGAAATGAATCCACAGATCTTTGAAGTGGGCTGGTAATTTATATATTCATCCAATTCCTGCATGACAAACAGTGCATTTACAGCAGGATAATTTGATTGACTGAAGTACAGTTACTGCTGATTTATATGACTGTGACAGGATGATAAGCCTACAAGGCCTAATGAAATGGCAACATTGGTTTACTCTTTATTTTCTTTCCAGCACACAAGCATGTTATTGAATCATTCATCTCACAACTTACAGGTCTCTATTGTTTTATTGCTTATGATTAGGCAATTAACTCATGGATGGAATTTTGCATTTCATTTATTTATTTTAACTGGAGGCAGACTCAGGTTCTAACATTGCATTATAATATTTAATGTGCAATAAAATCCCTCTTTTTCTTAGAAAACATCCTCATCTAGTGATCTCCACATTCAAACTTTACGGCAGTGAGAACCCAAAGAGGTAAAGATGGGACCATTCCTGTCCCTGTGTGACAGTGACGCTAAGGCAGGGTCACAACTTCAAATTCTCATGCAAACTAATGCATGAGTTCAGGTGCAATCTTAAAAGATAAAACCCCGGGGGATGCTCCTACGGGTCAGCTGACTTTGACAGAAAGAAGAACAATAGTCTTCATAACTCCATTTCACTGCTCACAGATAAAGTAGAAAAGCAGCTAAATAAATTTTTTTAAAAGTAGACTAGGTTGAACTCTGCTCTTTTAGATAATTTATGGTGTTGCTACTGCCAACACAAGCCGTGATTTTTAATTTTATTACTGCTGCTAGCATGCCCTTAACCAAGTTATGATGTCCAAGCACTAGAGAGTGTTGCATGACTGAAAATGGCTTTATGATTTAATGTTTTATTGGTTGTTGTATTGTTCCTAGTGTGTTATTATTTTTAAATGTCTCTAACAAGAATAAATACAGCTGTGCTCAAATAAACATTAAATTGTAACTGCTTTGGGCACTGTCCTACACAATTTTGTGACCATGTCAGCATTAATGTGAGCAGCCTAAGTGGATCTGCTCTCCTGGTGCAGGTCCTCACCTGCACTATAGGATGGGGACCTGTCAGAACCCAGGACACCCCTCTGGGTGCCCTGGATGATACATGCCCCTGGCAGGGGGCTGGGGAGTCCTGGCAGAAAGCCAAAGACACTTGGCATTTCGATCTTAACCCATTAAACCCCAGGACACCCCTCTGGGTGCCCTGGATGATACGTGCCCCTGGCAGGGGGCTGGGGAGTCCTGGCAGAAAGCCAAAGACACTTGGGATTTCGATCTTAACCCATTAAAAAAATTAGCAACCTTGTATGAAGAATCACAAGTCACAGAAGTTTAAGTAGAGTAATAATGAATTAATCACCAGGTGAAAAACTGGAGTTTTGTGGATTTTATTATAGGGGGTCTAGGAGGCAAGATGCAGGGATGTGGGTGTTGTCCTATTCTTCTTCCTTCTTTCTAGCCTCCCTCTTCTGGGTGATGTTGGCACATTTATATTGGTATAGAGTAGAAGTAGACAGTCTAACATAGGTGATAGGTATTGGAAAATAATGGTAAATAAAGTACACGTAATTTATAGTATAAAATGTAGACACCAGCCCAGGGACAGGCAGTGTGCCCTTGGCAGACCCGCAGATCAGACCTCTGCTGGTCTGAGAAAAAATATTTTAGATAATAGATAATAAACAACCTTGTGAACCAGAGCCAAAGAATCCAGACTCTTTCTTTGACCATCGGGCTGGGAAAAAGGGACTCTCAGGTCATCCCGACAGCAGGGAACCTGAGAGGGACCCAGAGAGCTTACACTTGTGCTGCCAGCCACGGCTGAAGAGCATGTGTGGGTGCACACTCACACACATTTGTGTGCCTGCATGCCCCAGGACATCTGCCTGGCCTAAAGCAGAGGAGAGATGGGCCTGGCAAGACACCCTGGTGCTGCTGTGGTTCTAAGCCCACACAACGTCAAGTGACCACCCCGGCTGTTTGTCACCGACTCCACCACAATACTGCAACATCCAAGATCCCAGGCTGTATTTCACTTTGTGCTCTTCGTGCACCTCTCTGTTTTCACACCTCTGTCCCTGGAGCTGGTGATGACCCCAAAGGCAGGCTGAGCTTTCAGACTCCTCCTTCAGTTTGCAGCCATGTCAGCTCCCAGTGAAGTGCAAAATGGAGCAAGTGTATGGCATCAAGGGAAAAGAGAATCAGAGGATGCCAACAAGCAGGTAACTGAGGAAGTTTGTTGGGATAAGGAGTCCCAAAAAGGGACAAATCATGGACAGTTTGCAAAAACACATCAGTTACATCATTTAGTGAACCAAGCTATTACTGAGGGCAGGAAGAAAAAGTGTTCATAATCCACAGTCAGTCAAGGGCTCACTGATGCCTTCTCAAAAAGACTTCATAGTATCATATATATCATAGGATGTCCCACAGTTTTCTTCATATCAGGACCATGAAGGACTCCAGCGTCCCTCACCACTGGAAGAGGGGCTAGTAGAAAGACGTACCTCCTTGTAGACCTACAGACTCTTTGTGTGAGCAGCTTGGTGAGTTCCTGTCATAATTCCCAGTGCGTGAGCTAACTTGTTTCCCTCTCTCCACATTTCCTGCTCATCTAAACTTCTGTTAATTAAAGTCAGATGCAGAGCCAAGCTCACAAAGGTTCTGGTTGCCTCCAGTGCTTACAGTGGTGATAGTGGAGGGTGCCCAACAGTCTCCACATTGAAGCCTGTGGGTTTCAACATACAAGAACATTTAGGATGAGTAATTTCCCAACACTGACGTCAAACCTAAGACGTGCCCATTGCTCCAGGACACTTTTCACTGACTTGGACTTTGGCTAAAGGTATAGAGTTCCTTAGCAAAAACACTTGGCATCCATAGCTTTGGGGCTAAGAAATGTGCCTCAAACAGCAGGAGAGCATGAAATGTTCCAGCTCCCATAAAAGATGGGAGATTTAAACTCCTGCATCTTGCTCTGCAATCCCCTGCAATTACCAGAATGTAAAAGAAAATGAAGCACAGTTTATTCTCCCCCAAGGAAATAAAATTATTAACCTCCATTTAAGACAAACAGATTGAAAATGCCAGGGGAAAAGCCAGAAGGTATGCACTGCAAACTAGATCTAATAAGCGTGAGGTTTCTTCACACACAATTGAGGAATCAATTATCAACATGAAGACATCTAACTGATGAGTTATTTTGAAATAGCTAACAGTTGGCAGATCTGCCAACATGAAAGATAAATGCAATTAACTGTGTTAATTATTGCTCTGCCTAAATTTCTCCCCTCAGATTTCCATGTTCACAAGATTTTGTGCGTGCAGTGCTGTCCATCAGCACAGTCAGCAAGGGACACTCAGCATCAACCTTCCAGCCTGACACACATGACCAGTCTTATTAAACACTTCAACCAGGCCAGTGGTGTGGGACAAAATCACTAATTGCTGACAGGTTCATGTAAGTATCTGTGCTAGCCTAGGGGATTGCAGGATATTTTTGGAAGCTGAAATCAGTTTTCAGGTCCTGAAAACAGCCTCTCACCCTTCCATGGAAAAGAAGCTTGGGTGCACTGAAATGGTGGCATGTTCCAACAGGTTACTAATTTGGACAACGAAAGGAAAAGGATCCCTTTAAAGAAAGAAATCCTAGACTCTGGGAAAATGAGAGTCTTTCCCCCACAAACAGGAATTGTTAAGAAATGGGGAGGCACAGCCTAAAAATAATTTTTTTTCCAGAAGCTGAGTCTGTAAAACTTGATTTATTCCTAATGTGCGGAGATGATGCATTTACTGACACAGGAAAAGTGGATGGGGTACAAACCAGCCCTAGCACACCCAGATCCCCTGCATGTGTGTGTTTCTAAATAAACACCCAACCCAGGTAGAGATTCAGGTAACAGAGCTAATTGGTTCTCAGAATTTCCTACCATCCAGCAGATCTGACTCACACAGTCTTATTCAGGAAGCAAAAATTTGACAGAAATTGTACATGCCTGCCTGACCTCTAGATGCTCCATTTGCTCCTCTCCTCCCTTACTGACCACTTTTCTCTTCAGAAGGTCTTCCCCCATATTCCTCTTTCCCTTTTCAGGCAACAGCTGCACTTCTCATGCCCTGCCAACATCCCAAAAGCGAAAGTCAGATGAACAAAATTCATTTGTGCTGTAGGCAACTGCAAGAGACTTCAGTGTAATTCACACCAAAGTTGAAACTGGTCTCCAGAGTGTAACTAACAACTGGAAAAGAAAGTTAATTAACACCAGAAATATGAAAAAATGCCTTTTTCTATGCTTTAGCATTACTGATTAATATTATCAGTCTTGTCCTGAATATTTCAAGCAGGATACAGACTAGAACATGGGACAACCTTCTAAGGAGAGCAGAAGTCTCACTGCTGGGGACACTTAAATCCCAGGTGAGCAAAGCACAGGATGAAGCACGGAAAAGAATGAGCCTGCAATGTATATGCTGCTGGATAAAATGATCTAACAGAGTTTCCTACCTCAGACATCCCAAAAATCCAGTCAAACACTGGGGAAAAAATGAGCTACATGTTCCTCTGTGAAACAGTGAAGAGCCCACCAAGAAAAATGAAGTGACTCAAATCTCACTGTTAATTTTTTCACAGATTCTCCAGTTAGGGTCTACAGAAAACTGCACAAGTGCTGTCTCAGAATTAATGGATGCACTCCCCACCTTTAACAGATATATTCATAGTCTTGGATAGCATAAGATTTTTGTGACACTTATTCTGAAGCTGATGGACTGGGCTCAAAGAGCTGCTGACCTGGCCCACTCAGGGCCACAGGGAGCTTTCTCCTTCCTACTCCAAGCACAAGTCAGATTCCTGTTCCAAAAAGCTGTACTAAACTTGGCCTGAATGAGGAGTAAAGAGCAGGACTGACAAAGCACCACGAATATAACTAGTGTCTGATTTATGGAAAATAGATGTGGCAAAATCATCTTTTATCTCATTGTCTGTGGTTTGAATGAAGATCATTTTAATGATTTAGGAACTTTGATCTTTTACAAAACAATATCTCTGCTTCATAACAATAGAGCATATGCTAAATGAAGTAAGAACTGGCTGAGTGACAGATTGGATATGCAACTGTCAACAGAAAACCATCAGTGAGTGAGAATGCATTTGGAGAGATTCCAAAGGGATTAGTATATGGCTCAGTGCTTCCCTAGTTGACATGAAAATAAATATAAACCATTACTGAGAAAATATGTCCCTCCTGTAATGACATAAGCAGACAGTGCAGTTGCATGGAGCAACATAGGGTACTTGCTAAGTTAGGATAATTAAAAAAAAAATAGATCCTAAATCAGCAAAGTAAAAAGAAAGTGTACGAAGAAGGAATGAAAATTGCACCTGCAGGATGGCAGACTCTATACTGAAACAGCTCAAGAGGAGTTTACAGGGCAAAAGTTATGGAAAATTGCATAATGCAATCAGTGGAATAAAAGCAGAGGTAGGGGTAGGGAAGAGTGCTACTGATCAAGCAGCATCAGTGAGAAGGATGTCTGAATGCAGCACACAAAGCTGGTACCCTGGCTGTCAAATAAACATGAGTGTTTAACAGAAAGGGAGCCAAACAGAATCAGTAAATTAATCAAATCAGGAAGAAAATGTCTTCCAACTAAAGACTTAATATTTTCCATTTGTTAAAAAGAACACTGAGAAAATCTGTAAGAAGTGAGATGACCTGGATGTGCAAATGTCTTTGTGAGGCAAAGAGAGAAAACAGCTATCAGAAAGCAGCAGAGTAAAACTCAGCCGCCAGAGGATGAAGCTAGATTAGCTTTAGTTATGAAACGCACAAAGTTTCCCTTTTCAAAAGAATAAATAAATTATAGTATTGAAAGAAATTACCAGAAAAGTCTGTTTTGTGGTGTCTTCAGCAGAAGACCAGATAACTCTCTGGAGGGTAAGTGGCAGTCAGATGCAAAGACTAGCTGTGGGGCTCAACACCAGGGTAACTGAATGAAAAATGATGGCCCACACTGCACAGGAGCCCAGACTAGAGATTTATCATGTCTCCTGGCCTTAAACTTCAGGAAGTCCAAAGCAGAAATTAGGAGACTGTCCTGCAGCAGTTGTGTGTTTTACACAAGCAGCGATCAGGGGTCTGCTGTAAGCAGGGCACCCCACGGTGCCCAGTGAGGGGGCTCAGGGGCGCTCCTTCCGAAGGAGCCAGGAGGCTGATGGCCATCACAGGCAGTGCAGGTTAGCTCTGTCTGTCATGGCTTCAGGCTGATGTGCCCCTCCCAGAACACCCTGCTCCTTTCAAACGCTGCCTGCAGGCTTTGAAGTCTCACAGATACAGGCACAAAGTCAGATGTGCTGCAGCCTAATTAATTTCAGGTTGACATTTTATTTACAACTACATGGTGTGGCTTCCCTTTCATCGGCTTTGTAGATGCAATACTCTTGACTTGGCAGCTAATGACCTAACTCTGCTCTTCAAGAGGCATAGCCTGATTCTTTCCAATGTGGTTGTAAGGATGGGGCTGCTGAGGAACCCAAGGAAATAGAGCAGATTGCAGGGAACCATTGCTTAATGGAGAGCTCATCAATTAAAACAGTTAAATATTGGGCACAGTATCATATCTATACCATATGCTAGTGATTTATCTGTCAGGGTAATTATCTGGATCATATCAGTGTAACATACCACCCAGGTACAGATGAAAAAACAGAATTCTGTCTTCCTTTTTCCTTGTGAATTACCTCCATTTAGAAAATAATATGCTTTCATTTTTAGATAGCCTTTCTTATGCCAAAGGAAGAGAGGGAGTGCCAAAAGAGAATGCAGATGGGAAGTTAAGATGAAGAGAACTATGCACTGGGTTTGGCATGTGTTGAAAATAGAGGTCATTTTTAGTACAGAGAGTTAATTAAATAGATAACAGTTTTAGAATATGTGAAGTAAGACCACATGATGCTAGGAACCTCACTAATGTAGGCTGTGTCTAAGACTGTGTGCTCTGGAGCATGTCCTGCACTCCTGGTCTTCTCATGATCCTTCTCAGATACCCATCTATGAAGCTCAACGGCCATTTTTTGGCTAGGGATCCTGCACTTTTTTTTCAGGGCAACCAAGGCAGGGAGGTGTGGAAAATGATGCACATCTTAAACCTTTCAATTCAAATTCTTTGAAGTGTGCAGTTGGAAAAGATTACGTCATTACCTACAGACACATGCTGCTTCAAACGAGAACATTTACCTTCCAGGGTGTAGGCAACACAACCTAACCCAACCCAATCCCAATTCCCTTGTGCACATATGGCCCATCCCTCTCTGTGGCTGCCTTCCACAAATGAGTGATGAGAAGGGTATTTGGCTCATCTGCTTCCTCTGCCCTGCAATCGTGGTTTGTAGACTGTCAAACCATGGACTGCCACTTCTAACGCTATAGCTGCATAACACATACATGGTTTTGGCTTATTCCAACCAGCACTCTCTCAGACCATGCCTGATCATGGTCCAAAGGATTATATGGACCACCAACTGTTCCGAGTTGGCAGATTGTACTATTCTAATCTTTCCTATAAGGAAAGGTTTGGCTCTATGAACATGGCCCATGATCTGCCAGAAGGCCTCATGGGTCAAAAAATGCACCCTGGTCTCTTCTAAGCAGCAGACACATCTCTCGAAACACTGATTCAGAAAACTTGCCAGCTGTCCAAGTGACACAGCTGTGCCCTTCACTGTAGCCAAACCCTGACTCATCTCACCAGAGTTTGTGCATCAAACAGGAAGAGCTCTAAACTTCTACACCAAACAGGTAGTGAAAAAGACACCCGTGTGAGAATTCAGCCCCTGTATGTTCAACACCCATGAATCACCCTTGCAAGATGCCTCTCAACTAAAAAGCTACACAACTACTTAATGCTGGGGCCCTGGCTTTTACACACTTAGATGCAGGTAAGACTAATCCTACCTTTAGAGTCTCCAGTGGGCCAGATCTACTGCAGTAGCTTCTTACTTCACTGAGGGACAAATTTCATTTTCAGCGCAATGAGACAGGTACATCATTCAGAATGTTCTAAGTAGCTTTAGTTGGTATGAAGCATTAACTTAGTGCAGCCTTAAGCTACCACAGTGGCACTTGTTATCAAATGTCTTTGTGTCCTCTACATAACAGTCTATCTTGTTCCCACCTGAGTATGACATTACAACTATTTTGTCTGGTGCAGAATACCCAAAATCATTACCCTGTTGGTGGCAAGAGTGCTGATTTTGGCTAAAAGATAAAAAAAATCAGTACAAACCCATATTCCTTTGGATCAGCATACACTCCTTAACTCTTGCTGGAAAATAGCTTCGGTTTGAGAAGTTGAGGAGGTCAAAGCAGTATTTGTTCTTCCCCACATCAAACAAAGTGCAGTTAAATTCTGTCCTGTTGTCTCCTGGATGAAGGATGCTTTCATACAGCCAAGTTGTTCTTTGACTCGAATGCTTGAGAGCCTCTTTATAAACAACGATTTTTCCACTGATAGAAGTGCATGGTGGAGAGATTACGGAGACCTGAACCAAAGTTTTGCATGTGTCTTCTGCTGCCACAACCAGTCTGTATCCAAATTTGTGGAGGAGATCTACAGGTCCTACGGAGGCAATGATGGAATGTGTTTCTAACGATTTCAGTAACACAGTAATGTATATTTCTTGACCAACAGGTGGGCAATCAAACTCTACCCACTGGGACCTAGACAGGGGGATTATTTTGCTAGTTCTAATGCCCAGAGTCTCATCAGAGCATACTCTTCTGAATTCATAAAGGGTGCTGGTGAATATCACATCCAGTGAAATCACAGTCTTGTTCATGGCACATAACTGCTCATTTGTAAAAAGTCCAACCTGAAGGGAGCTCCCAAGCATCTCTGAACTCCTGTTCAAATCAATGTGAAATACAGGCCATTCCACATGGAGCGTGGACATGCTGCTTCTGCTCCACTGGGCAGCACTGCTGTTGTCACTGGGAGAGACCATTCTGAACAAGAAATCACCAGCACTTTTGAAATGGAAACACTCAAACACCACCGTCCCCTGGGACTGATTTGCGGGAAGCTGTTTTCTTGCAATTATCTCACTGGTGCTGGCATCCAATAAAAGGATGGACACATGCTCTGCTGTCACATTACCACCACTGTAGTACTGATACTCCACAGACACTGTGTCGTTGCTGAAAGCTACATGATCCGGGTGCTCCAACAGGAGATACTCCACTTCGCCGAGAACTGAAAGGAAAAGTTCCGTGACAGTATTAAGAAACAGACAAGTGATTTTCCTATGGAAGAAAACAAGCATTTAAAAAATGGATATTAAAAGTGGTTCTCAATCTTTTTTCAAGTGAACCAGATCACAAAAAAAGAAAAGGCCCTAGCAATAGCAGTCAGAGCTCAACACCTCTGTTCTGTGCAGGCATCTGATTTGCCACAGCTCAAAGTCGACTGCAGTAACACCTTCAGGAAGGTAAAAACCAGTATTTTAAAGCAAACCACAAACCACCCAAAAGATTAACAGAAAACTTACTTTATCAGAATAGATTCTCAAACTTTTCAACTTCTTTCACTTACAGATTTTTAAACTCCACAGAGGCCAGCTGTTTTTCAGCTTCAGCCATAATTCAGCAAAAAAAAGGACAGTGGTTCCTCATACAGACAGATGAAAAATGTCCCCCAAGTTAAATAGAATAGGAAGTCTGCATGATGCTTTTTGAAGCCTTTTCTCTTGCTCTGTCTTATGAATCTTTCATTTTGCTCATTTGCATCGCAGACACTTGAGTGAAAGAGCTGAAAATAACAGTGATGGTGACTGCAGCACTTTTCTTGTCTCAGATGTGGTGCAACATGTCTAAATGACATCATTTCATTCTAAATGGTGCAGTGTTTTCAAATTCACTTCTTGCATGACCATGTTTGTGCACGCTGCCAAATTATCCTGAGACATGCTGTAACTAGCAATGGTATCTAAAGCAATAAATTGGAAGATCACATTTCCATTCTTAGTTCAGCTACCTTCTCTGCGTTGCTTGAACCTTAAGGATTTCAGACACAGAAAGGTTATCTGAAAAATGGGAACTGCATACATCTATTCCAGATACAGAATGTGCTGTGAGACATCTTTATTAAATTAATTGTCTGGGGAAAGGCTTCTGAGTCTTAGATGGAAGGTGCCATGGAAGTGTAAAACTTAGTTAAAGCAATCCTTTCATAAGTAGTATCAACTAACAGTACTTTGACTTGTAAAATCTGTTACACATGTCTTAAGATTACCTCAAAGAAAGCTTTGCTGGAAAAACACTGCAACTGCCAAAGCAAGCACTTAGCAGTCAGGAGTAGCAGGACTCATCTCACATAATATTAGACGCCTACTACTCTAAGCTTCAATTTGAGTTAGTCACCTTGGATTCACTTTCTTCTCAGCAGGAAAGATTTTCAGGAAGAAATTCATCTGACTGAGTATAGACATTTACATCTGGGTGGGGTGCAGTGTGCACTAGAAAAAAAAGAATCTATTGCTTGCCACCAGCTATAACATGTCCTTAAAATAACCAGCACCAACCACATACATACAGTCCAAGTAAAGGTGGCACACACAGCCTTACACATATAAATTATAAATATACTCTTACATGTATGTACTATAATTCCAGACTTTCATTTGCATTTCCACAAGACACTGCTTCATTTGGCAGATGGACAGTGTTCATTATCAGAGGGTTCTTTTGTTCTCATTCTTCTATTGGTGGTCCTATGCATTATTGACTGCACACCATCCAAAATCCATCCTGATAACACAGAATTATTCATTTCCCCCATGGACTCTTCTATTGTGCTCTTATTGTAGTGTATTAGAGCATTAGAAATTTTAATGACTTTATCCTTCTAAAATCCCCAAAAAATGAGAGGCAGTCACTATTCTTGTTTAGTATGTTAGGAACCAAAGCACAGGCATGAAGGTAAAAACTGTCAAGTATCAACTAATTGTGGTGCACTGCAAAAACCAGGCCTGATTTTAAGTACAACAGTCCTTCAGAATCCAAAGCAGGATCCTGTTCATTGCAGCTGTGGTGAGCACATGGCACCGCAGCAAACCTGACCTCGACTTGGACACCCAGAGAAACACCTGTGAAAAGTGTCTCCCTGAACTACCCAGCAACACATTCTCCTTGTTCTTCATGTTTTGGCTCTGTCATGTGTGCCTGCCCATATTTTACAGTCCAGTTTCTTCCACTATCTACTTTCAGTATCTCTTGGATACTAGCTTAACTCCATTATTGTTACCACAGTTCTTCAAACTCCTGCCCTCATCTCTTCACATTATAGCTCTTTTATCTACTGCTGTTCCTTGGGTCTGTGATGAACTCCAGCACATTCCCACCTTCCTTGCTCGGTGCTAGCATTCTATAAGGGAGCACAGGACAACCAACTCTTGTGTCCAGTAATGGAATGGGGAATTCTTGCCCTGGGCTGGAGCATGCACAGTGTTGTATGAGGCTGGCAAGAGGAGCCAGCGGGAGTTGGGGCACACTTGACCCTTCAGAGAATTTAATCTCTAAGTCATCTGCAAGGATTTAGATCTGGACCAGATTTAGGTCTTTATAAGGACAGCAGAAAGCATGTCCTAGGCCACTGTGAAAACTCTAACAAAGATGAAGTTCCCACAGCTGTGTTAGAATTTCCCAGTGAAATGACTGTGAGTTGCTGGGATTTTTTTTCTTTGATAGTGGGCAAAATGATGCATTTCTCTGCATGGGAATCAGCTAGATTCAATGTAGCTGAAACATTAAAGGGAAAGGAAATCAGACTATGGCAAAAACCCAGTATGAAAAATTTCAGTTTTAAGCTTTAAACTTACAACAAAAACATTCAAGCAATAGTAATGAAAAGCACTGATGTTTCTACCTACTGCTTTATTGTCCTTACTCTCTTTTACAACTGTCTTGACCCTTTTGCACTGTTTTTCATTTGGAACAGCTGAGATGATGAGTAACACTACTCTGTATGTCAGAAGGAAGGACAGGAGGGCAGGGAACTGCTGTAGAGCAGTCCATCAACCCTAAGTGCAGATCACTTGGGAAGTAAGGAAAGTGAACACTACTGGAGGATGCAGTTACAGCACCGCAGAGCTCTGGCTGGTGCACCCCAGCTCACAGCATCTTTTTCCCCAGTTTGGTAAACAAGAAATTTGCACTTTTGGACAGCCCACACAGCAGTTTTTCACAATGCTCCAAAAGACACCAGTCAGGAGATAGCTTCCACTGCAAGCTCCTTCAGTTGCCCTCTGGCCTACTACATGCCCATGGCTCTGTCACATGCCAAAACTTCATCCCAATCGTTTGGATAGCCAGTCAGGGGCGTCTTTCAATGCACTTGTATAATTTTCATTGTCATTACAATGGTCTGCTATTGAAAGAAGTCTGGCTGTGGCACCAACAACCTGCCAGAAGAGTCTCTGTAAGAATTCACACTTTAAAAGATTAAAAGTCCATGATTTCAAGCAAGAAGAATTACTTGAGGGTGCTATCAGATAGTTATTTTTAAGTGTTTTTAAGCCAGCTTGGGTTGTGCTGTTGGCGTGTCAGCCACCGGTAACACAGAGCTAAGTAGAACAAAAACATCAGTAAAACTGATAAATGAGAATACAGTTTAGTTGGATGTTAGGGCTTTTTATAGCACTTCAGTAATTTTCCAGAGCATACTGGATCACTTAAAAATAGTCTTGCCTGAAATAGAGAACTATATAAATGAAATAGTTATCTAAAATCAATGTACACAGTAATATTCAAAGATATGTATATGCAGAACTGTATGGAAGGAATTTTCTGAATTATGGGCTGCCCTTTAACTGGAAATAAGGTGAAAGTTGATGCACCTAAAGTTTGCAGCAGAGATTTAGCTCATTAACTGCACCTCATAATTACTTGCTGTGCCATGCTCTATAAAGTTCATGAATAATAGCTTTTACCTCTGAGTCAATCAGTCGTGAATGTCTACAGGACTGGCTCACCAAGAACCAGTGGATATTGTAATCATTCATCTCACGTCTTGGCTCCAGTGAATTTACTACTTACCTTCACTGTGTTATGCACTCAGCGCAGTGTTTCTACCTGGGCTATTTAGCTGTCTTATTAAAAGAAGAAATTGTACTAAAAGCCATAGACAAGAGTCTTCTACTAGAACCAAGTTCATGTAAAAGATAGCAGTTCTAGGTTCTGTACATCTTTTAGGGATCCTTTGTTCTGCAACAGAGATGGACGATGCACAGAGGAATGAGTAGCATTACTTATTTAATGAATTACTATTTTTCTCATTTATACAGCATACTGGATACGTTTTTGTCCATGTCTCTCTTTTGTAAGACATCTTCAGCTGTTTGATGCAAGAACTACCTGCTACAGCTCATTCCATAAGTGGGGATTAACTACTTCTTTTCCCATGTTTTCCATGCTGTACTTATTTGTGCAGTGCAAAGCTTAATCCTTCAGCGTGGTTTGACAATGTACTGCAGCTGTCAAAACAATGCTGGCTTTTAAACTAGGAATGAAATTTTCTAAAACATATTAATTGCTTAGGAATTAAGAGTCCCATTTTCAGAATTTCTAATTCACTCTGCAATAAGAAAGGAATTTGCAAACCTACTTTGTACATTCTTGGAAAGGATAAGACACCATACATATGATGCCCCTCAGCTTGTAGACGTCTCGCAGGTTTCTGACTTGAACTTAGGATGTCTAACTTCCCTCCTTGGCAGCTGATGGTGAGAAGGAGGCTTTTTCATTCTACACATCTCAGTTGCAGATGGGTAAGAGCTGCTTTCAATATGTATGGATTTATGCAAGCTGCTTTCAATATGTATGGATTTATGCATGGACTAATCAAACAAAACTGATTGTCTCTGACTACCTGTCTAATTTTATGTCACTAAGATTGAATGAGTATGAACATCATCCTTTGGCTTCTTATACAATCAGAGTAAAGAATGCCTCTGTTGTACTCAAAAGTTCTCTGGGTGGCAGCTTAGATCCATCAAATGGGGGCTCACTCAGCCATAGGACATTGGCTGTACTGTGGATGCTCACATATGATCCAACCACCCAGGTCCCTTTCCTAGTATGGAGAGGAACGGGTAGTTCTGTACGTATTTCCACCCATCCTACTATGGATAACTAAACCAGGCCTATCTTCCATGATGTTCATTAAATATTGTGAAATATAAGTCTTACAAGAGAGCGGAGTTCCAGTTGCTGCTTCTAGCACAGCCTTGATGCTCATGGAAATTCGTTAATTTATCTCATTTATTTCTCAAAGCAAATTTACATCAGGAAAGAATCCTGACACTGATCTAAAGGGACAGTTTATGCAAGTTGCATTTAACTATTGCATAAGATCTAGACAAAATTCTGTGTCTGTCAGTGGCGGCTTTCATAGCATTTCATTTCCACAGATCACCTGGAAATACCACCATTCAAAACCACCTTGTGAAAGCACATCACAGTTTTCACTTGACAGCTTTAATACTCACCGTAGTCACAGAGCACTACTAACAATAGATTTGAAAAATCTTTCAACATATATTTCATTCTGAACAGTGAGATCCTGGGTCCTTTTACTCCTCATGTCCTTTTTCAGCTCCAAAGTGCCAGCACATTTTCCAAGAACACCTAAAAGTTAAAAAATTACAGCTGTGTCAACTTTCCTTCATAAAATATGAGAAGAAAGACATATCATTAACAAGTAAAAGAATATTAATTAACATTGCTGTCATTTACTTAACAACCAGTAACACTTATCAATGTATCTGAATAAGGACAGCTACAACTCACTGTACAATAATTTTCCACCCTGAAATGCAGCTCCTGAGCCAGAACAACAAAGACAGATAACAACAATTTTATCTTTGCACTGCAGGAACTGCTGCTATGGATATCTTATATTATGACCAAGGTTCATAACAGCAAAATAATGAGCATTTTACACAAAATATAACTCTGAGCTCAGGACATACCAATATTGGGGATTTATTGCTGTACACAATTCATATAGTTTGTCAGCTGCTTTCAAGTACGAAAGCAGCTCAGCAGCAAACTGATTGGTCAGCAAACCAACTTTTTGGTCATTGAACTCCCTCTGTTATTCAGGTCTAGTAATACACTTAGTGATCTTACTAGATTTATAAGAGATCTATAACTGCCTTTTATGTCATTCCGATTGATCAGATGGAGAAGATGCCAACTTCCACTTTTTCCTCCATAATTTTTTAAGCTTACATTCACTACAGCCTTTGCTAAGCCAATAAAAATAGACTTCTTTTGGCAAGTTTCCCAGTTTTATGTCCGTGTGGTTTAAACTAGTCTTTATGAGTCTCGTAACAATTAGATAAAAGAGGTTGGAAGCACAATGATAGCAGCAAAACCAAACAGTTTCCTTCAGAAATGTAAGTAGGAGGGATTCTAAAACGAGAAATTCCACTCAGAGGCCATTTCAAAATATAAGAATTGCTCTCCTGCGTTTCACAGAGCACCTGTAGGTCAGTGTCACTGTGCTCACCATCACACAAACATGCAAGAAAGGTCTTGATCCATTAAGTTTACAACCTAATTTTATGAGAGAAATCTGGTACTGGAGCAGGCAGAAGTCAAGAATGAGCAAAACTGTGGAGGATAATGGTAAAACATAGGAACCAAGTATGGCAAAGATCATGAATGTCTTTAGGAATCACAAATAAGATATTTCAGCAATTACACTGCTCTGCTTGTTGAATTAAGACACAGCAGATGTGTTACTTGAAAGCTTTTTGAACTGCTCTCTGTGCCAAGTGGCTGGAGAGAATAATTTCTAAGAAGAGACTAGCGGCACAGCCTTGCTCAGTAAAAGCCCATTACAATAATAGCTGCACATATCTGAAAAGAATAATCATCATCTGGCCCAGGAACTTGACAGGGCTCCAGAAAGCATTAGATAGGGACAGCGATACCGCCACCACCCTCAATTTCACTTGATACGCTGTAAATTACAGGAAGACAAACCTTGTGCCTCAGGAGAGGGGCGGCTGCTGACGGAGGGCGGCCGGGAGCCAGCCTGCCTCCAGGGACAGCCGCTCCCGAACTCCTCCAGCTGCCGGCAGCAGGGGCAGCATCGCAGCAGGAACATCATTCTTTGCCTGTATCGTTATTGATCACTAATCAGTTAATCGAAACAAGGAACCAAAGTAGTCCAAAGAAGAAAAAACAGTCTTTGTTTAAAAAAGATAATTGTGATAGATGTCTTGGCCTCTAGGGTTAACAGCTCAAAGAAAACTCGAAGATACGTGGCATTGCTGTAAACTGCCCTGAAATAAAGTGGGGGGAAATTGCTCTGTGGACGAGTACCGTGATTGTGCTGGATGACTTTAATGGGTCCTTTCCATTTCTAGCTTGCCTAGCTGCAGATTCTTCAAATGGCTTTTATAAATACTTCTTTCAGAAAGTCACACATTGACAGATGAGATTCAAATAATCCTAATCTCAGTCTAATGAGCAACACACTGCACAGAGGAAATAAAGCTATGGAAAGGAGAGTAAATGCTTAGGAAAAAAGAAAAAAAGCCTGTGTAGGAGAGCACTCTTGAGGTAGTTGCCTTACATCTTAATTTGCACATCAACCCAACCGAGGAAAAAGCAGCGTGGTTCATGAGACAGGGTGCCAGCGGGAGGCACAGGGACCAGACCTGACTTCTGTTCCTATTCCTGCCACTGCCAGACATAATGTCAGCAAACTGCAGCATTAATCTGCTCCCCTCCTTTCCACCCCATCTTTCACGCTCTGTATTTATAGCAAAGACTTTTCAGGACAGAGACTCTTTCTAATCAAGCCTGGAGATGGGAGCCCAGCGCCAGAGCCCTTGGGTGTTTCGGTAACTCCAATCATCCATCACAGCAAAACGTCCTTCCCTCTCACCCTTCCTCCTGCGTTATCTTGGCTCGCTTGGGAAAAGATTGCGGCGTGCAGAGCGGGTAACACCCAGGCTGGAATTGGAGTGTTTGAAACTGTACCAAAACTAACTTCCAATTAGTGAGATCAGGTACCTCTGGAAGCCTAGCCCAGGGCTACTTCACCCTCTGCACGCCTCTGCAGCAACTGGATTGCAGCAGGAGCCCTCCCACCTCACACGCATACAGCTGCTTCAGGCTGCCGGCTGCAGTACAGCCCTACCTTTGAACAAAGCTCCAATTAAAGCGCTCCATGAAGCCTCCCTGAGCTTTTGCACCTTGGCTAGCTGAATTCCAATAGCACCTCTAATGTAATGCTGGCCCATTTCTGGTGTAGTAGTCCCCATACTCCTCTCTTTCTGCACAGGTTTGTTCCTCTCCTCTCCTTCACTTTTCTTCCTTTTGCCTCATCTCAGTTTTGGACAGGCCTTACGCTGACCTCTAAGATCAGTTCAGAATTTTCCCCTCTCCTCTCTATCTTCTGTAAGCCAATTTCTTTCTAGATTTCTTCACATTTTTAGGTTTTCTTCCAAATTCTCCATATATTTGCCCCCTCCTCAAATATTTTCTCTCTTTTCACACTCATACAATTTTGGTTTTTGAAGCAGACAGTGCATTTAAATGGTTTCTACTCTATTCAGATCTTCTACCTCAAGTTCATTAACTTAATGAGATGAAAAATGATGGAACAGAGAAGGATATCAGACTTCAAATAATTGGCTTTTTAAATGTATTGCTCTCATGGACAAGCATGAACTGAGGCTCTATTGTGCAAAATGGAGCAGAAGCACAGCAACATAAAAAGATGCTTTTTTCTTCCAAGAGACAGTGTAATAGGCTGATTGGAAGTGGAAGACTTCCTCTCCAAAGGGAATTTGAAATGACAGATGAGGAGGGCATAAGCCATAAAGTGCTTTGGAAGCAAAGACCAAGAGGCTTGTGTGCAACGCAAATGACACAGGAAAACTTTGAGTCCCTGCTCTGCAGCAGATTTCCTGTGCTATCTTGGTCACATCTCTTACTTTTCCTGCGGCACAGCTCTCCACTGGAGACTGTATCTCGCTATCTGGTGTGGGGGCTACAAGAATAAATCCTCATCAGCTGTGTGGTTTGCAGGCAATAGTGTCAATAACCATGTAAGAGCCAGATGTGAAATTTGAAATTGTACTTACAATATTTTTTGCAAATAAGTAATAGAATAGGCTATAATATTGCTTATTAGAATCACACGTATTAGTCTATTCAAAAAAGGTCCCTCTTTCCCTACATCATTAAAACTATTAAATATAGTGGGATCATTTTGGTTTTACAAAAAAAACTTAAAATAAACCAAACAAATAAAAAACTCCACACCAACTGGATTTATGACTCCTGGTATTTTTGTAGCAGTATCCAAGGCTGCAGCACAGACACGACATTTCAGACACCAGCCACCTCTTCTGAGAGCTGTCACCTGCTGATTTAGCAGTAACCACCTTCACCAAGTGCAATAGCACAGCATTCAGTGCCTATTCCCCCTCCATTAGGGAGCTGAGAGGCAAATAAGCCTCGCAGTTAAGAAAGAGCCATCAGGATTAAAGAAAGAGCCATCAGACACTCCATGACCAAGCATGGAGTTTAATGAGAACACAAATCCATGGCACTCAAAACCTCTGTGCTCTGGAGCATCATTCATGCAGAGAAGTGCCACTGATGGATCCCATATTTTGCCTAACCACAAGTACCCTCAGTCCTCTTCCTCTTTGCAAATCCCCACCAGAGCTGAGCCCTCCCCTGCCCTAGCTCCATCCTCCTTCAGTGACAGGGCTGTTCTTGCTCATCTCTCCTCTGAGCGCAGCCCTGCTCTCTCCTTGTCCCACCAAGCCCACAGCTGCAGGTGAAGGCAGACCCAGCCATGGCACAGAAACACCCCTGACTTAGGGCACACGTGAGAGCAAGGTGGGAGAAGGGCTTGGGGAAGGAGTGGGTGTGTGTGGCGGTGGTATGGTCTCAGGATGAGGAGTGATTCTCTTGGAACCAACTTGCCCCTGCCCCAAGCACTGCCCCAGGCAGCAGCACCTACCCAGGCACTCTGATGGATCCAGCAACCAGCCATGGTCTGAATATTTATTGGAATTAGGGAGGCAAAAAAAATCCTTTATAGCTGTTCACTAGTAAACATTTTTAGTTGTATTTGCAGCCCAAAATTTGCACGGTTCTGGCGATGTATGAGAGGCTGACAGCAAAATAGGCTACCTACAGAAAAGCCTGAAAGTCCCTAAATCCTCCTTGCATTTCACAAGCAGCACTAATAGCAAAAAGAAATGTGTATCTGCAACATTTCCTCAAATGGATTTCTTCATATTTTATCTGCATGTTGGAAAAGAGATTAATTATTTTCAACCATCGTATGCTTATTGCAATGGGATTAGGCAGCTATTGAAGTGTTACCACCTGCTGGGAATTTCAGAACCTCCTATATAATCTCTTCATTTTGACAGTAAAGCTAGAACACCTCTACTATTCATCACATTTTATCAAAATCTAATCACTGCTGACCAGCCAGAGTGGTCAGGGCCAAAAATATGCCACTTCTTGGAAGATACTTAGTTTAGCCAGGAAAGTGTCTATGTGATGTCTGCCACAGCAGGGGGCTGGAGCTCACATCCTCAAAGGCATCTTTCATTCTTATTTACACATCTGACAATTTTACATTGTTATCAGATAATGACTTTATTAAAAGTACGCATCTAAATTCACTAGGCTGAAACTGACAGCACCAGATCCTCCGTGTGCAAGAAAAAAACCCAATAATTAGCTGGTAAAGCCTATTTTCATTAATATTTGGGGTCAGATCTCACAAAATCCTGGGATTTCTCAGCTCCTTTTGATATTAACATAGCAATTCAAGAGCAGGCTGGCCAGCAACATCTGTCCTTTGAAACAATAGACAGAGTATAGGGATGATATTTACTTTGGAACATGTACAGTGAAAATAAGTTTACTAAGCTTAAGGAGATTTGGGAAGGTGTTCAAGCAACAATAAATAAAGAATGCAAAAAATTAAATACATTAGATGAGAGCTCATGGCATAAGGGAAGGATTGCAATCATCCATTCTTTCCTTTCCCCTTCAGAGTTTCTTTAAAAAAATTTTTAAAAACCCCCAAAACTATATCCACTATTACTGGCATTCCTCTTTTGGTGGAGTTTATAATGAAGATCCACGTATGGAGAACATACACGGCACAGCTGATACAATCAGAAGTTCGTTAGAGAAGCAGGTCTGAAATACCGTGAAGTATCAGTATTAAAAAGAGAATTGCGAAGCTTTCTCCTACGCTTTACCCTGGATTTGCCGTGTACTCACACGGTTTCGACCGGTTTAGCGACTGATATAAAGTAGAAATCACCAAACATACTAAAAAACACTACAATTATTCCTACCTATTGCGGGCTCGGGTGAAACCCGGGCAGTCGCTGCCCGTGCCGATGCTCCCGGCACTCCGAGAGCGCTGGAGCGCCGGGGCTCCGGGCGGGACGGCCGCTGCCTCCGGGGCAGAGGCGACCACAGAGAATACCGGGGCGGGGGCAAACCGGGGACCTGCCGGCACACGGGTGTTTTAGAACACCTCCAGGACCGCGCGTCACGGCGATCACGGCGCGATCCCGCGGCACCACTCGCTCCGACCGACGGCTCTCCCCGCCCGTGCCCGCCGGCTCCGCGCCGACAGCCGCGCCCCGACCGGCTCCGAGCCCCGGGCAGCCCGGGCTCCTCACCGCCACACCCCTCGGCACCCAGCGACCCGCCCGCGCCCCGGGACCGCCGGGCTCGGCTCCCGCTCCGCCCGCCCTGCGCTCACCTCCACGCCGCGGGCGGAGCGGCTGGCGATCGGGGATAGAGTGCGGTCCTTCCCGTGGAGGAGGAGACGCCGCCGGCGCTGCCCGAGAGGCGGGCGGGCGCTCACTGCCCGCCGGCGGCGGCGGCAGGAGGGTTAAATGGCGGCGGCGGGCGGCTGTCAGCGGGCGCACACGCCCGCCCGCCGGGCTGCGGCGGCCCTGCGGGAGGGGAGACCCGTGAGGGGCGCGCCCGACCCGTGTGCGCCCCGCGCTGGGCCGGCGGCCGGCCCCGGTGAGGGCGCTGGGGCAGCCCGGCAGCTCCCCTCACGGTGCGTGCGCTTTGTACGGCAGCCCTGCGAGGAGCGGCTGTGGTCACTTGGTCTGTTCAGCCTGGAGGAGACTGAGCGGGGAGCTCATCGCAGTGACAGCTTACTCAGGATGGGATGCAGAGGGGCAGACACTGATCTCTGTGGTGACCAGCGATAGGACCGGTGGGAATGGCCCGAGGTTGTGTCAGAGCAGGTTTAGGTAGGATGTCAGGAAAAAGTTCTTCGTCCAGAGGGTGGTTGGGCACTGGGACAGCTCCCCAGGGAAGTGGTCACAGCACCAACCTGACAGAGTTCAAGGAGCATTTGGACAATGCTGTCAGGCACATGGTGTGACTCTTGGAGATAGCCCTGTGCAGGGCCAGGAGTTGGACTCCATGATCCCTGTGGACCATTGTGGATTTTCCAACTCAGCATACTCCGTGAAAATCACACCTCTCCCCCTGGGCGTCGGTAAGGGCAACCTGCCCAGGCACGGGCCAGCACGTCGGAGCCGGGCTGGTTGATGACTTTAAAGAGGGAGGGCAGGAGGCCTCTCTCCAGAGTCAGCAAGTCAGCTCGCAGCAGTGGAGACAGAGCAGGGAACAGAGAAGAGCAGCACCAGCTCCTTAGTGTGCCCGTCTGCAGCTGAGGGACATGTGTGTGGGTATTTGTCATGTCCAGTGTTCATGGATAAAGTTCAGGGACTGTTGTTACATGATGAATCTATCCTTGTGCAATGACTGCTTTAAGAAAAGCCCTTTCTATCCTTTTTTATGCAACAGACGAATTTATCTCAAACTGTTAAATTTATTTGCATGACATGAAGTCTGTGATTTAAATGCAGTCCGGTGGATACCTACATGCCCACAAAGATAGGAAAGGACTTTATGGAGCATTTACATCAGACAGTATTACATGTAATGAATTTTCCTGCTTTCCCTTATTTATTTATGGTAAGCGTGGGCATGACATAAAGGCCCAAGAGGAAGGAATTGTCAGTTTTTGTTGTTCAGAATTAAAAACAGACTAAAAGGTCCCTCCTAGTTAGCTTGTATCATCTATATGACTGAGGAAATCCAATTTCCACACAACATGGGTATCTCTGCCCGGAGTGTTGAGACCAAACAGCTGCTTAGGTTTATTGCCCACCGCTGTGGCTGGACTCTGATCAACCTGCTGCTAAACCTCTTTTCCATATGCTAGCTGGGGTCTGTGGTGGTTAATGCTTCACAGCCACACTGCCATCTGGAGTACTGACAAAGCCTTTGGGAGAGCAAGACAACCCTTGCTGAGGAACTCAGACTGTATTCTGGACAGCAAAAAGAACTATTTGTGTGCCATAAGGATTTTCTAGGCTGTTTTTAAACATTTTATTTTGAACAATCCAAATTCTAAATATTCTCCTTATTTGTTTTAATAGAAGTGTATACAAGTGGGGTTTTTTAAATTTGCCTGGCTTTTTATTGTAGTTAAGATTTTGTTTGATATTTTGGAGGATACAGTCACGTTTCTATTCAGTCTAATAAATGAAGGATGCTGCATTTTTTCACCAGACACTTGCAGCTTACATGACCTGTTACATTTCTTGTGGTGAGATTGGGCAACGCTTCCTTTGAATGCTGAGGAGCTTCCTGTGTCCATGTCTGGTCCTGGTCTGTGTGACTGGCAGCAAGAATTCAGCTTCAGGCAGTGCCACTGTAGAGGTGCTAAGTGCAGAGGTGTGCCAGGAACATCTTTCCCACTGATCATGGAAGGTACCAGCTGGCACAAGTGAATGCATTGTGGCACTGGGTCTGGTTTGAATGAAACAGGAAATAAATCACATATGGAAATAAAGAAAACAGCACTGTAAGTAGGTTCCAGATGATGGAGAAGCTCAGAGAAGAAAAAGAGTGAGGTGAATGAAATGTCCTTTCTGAAACGTCTGCTCAAGTCCAAGACTGAAACTCCAGTCTCACTTGCTGCCTGTATTTAACATCTGAAAAATCTTACATTGGTGGATCTATTGCCAGGCTTTTTTCCCACTATGAGCACAATCTTTTGAAGATTTAATCACTAGGAAAAAAAAAATCTCTTTCTCCTGTTGTAATGCAGAGGAGAAAGTAGAAATCCATGCAGCAGGAAAGAGTCTGGAACACATGGCAAGATGTTTTACTTGTATCACAGTATTTTGCACTTATTGTAGTGCCTTTGATCCAATGGCCTTGCAGTATTTTATGAGTTACGAATGATCTTTGATCTTTTGTTTCCCTATGCTGATGAAAAAGGCTTTGCCTTATTTTTTTTTTAAATGGATTTGCTGACATTATGCTCAAACTGTAAAGTCAGAAACAAAGCCAAGACAGCAGCTCAGGTCATTGCACTCCCCCTCAGTGCCTTCTTTCAGACCCGTATCACCTTTGTGTCAACACTTCCAAAAGGGGACAGAGTCAAAAAAATGGTGATTAGAAATCACAAGTCACCCCTATGATTGTATGGTGGAAATTGTAAAGAACCCAGATAACAGGAGGATGAGCACAGGATAAATAGAAAGGCTATTTTATTAAACCCTTTGAAGCCCAGTGGATTATGTTTGCACATAATACACCTGCTGTGATGCTGAGCACTAAGATCTGTCTTTGTTAACATGCCATCCAAATTTCATCAGGAACATATTTTTCATTAAAGTACTTCAACGGAGCTGGTCTCTGAGGCATCTGGCTAGCGGTGGATAAAATCCTTGCCATTAAAGTTGGTCTCCCTGGAGAGCAAAGAACTAATAACAGAAGGGACGGGAGAACAAGGGAGCAGACGAGTGCCCATTTAGCCCACAACCAAAACGTTGAGATCTAAATTAAGTTGGACACTGAAGGACACAAAGAGAGAGTAACCTTTAATTGCTGATCTCTAGCACAAGCTGCCGGCGTGATAAGCGAGCAGGGAGTGCAGACGGATCCCACCTGCGCACAGATCCCAGGGAGCTGCTGGGCTGAGGCAGCCCGTGTGGCTGAAATGTTGAAGACAGCCATGGCAGGAAGGTCTAACAGGAAAAAGATTCATGGCCTGTAAAAATGGGATTATGTGTTCTCCAGTGCTGGCAGCTGAGCAGAAATCACTTGCACGTGTGGTGACGGGTGGTGCTAGAGGCTGTTGGCAGCTGCCTCTGCTTAGCCAGGCCAGAGCAGCCACCTTGACTGCAGCCAGGAGCTGAAACCGGTCTGCTTGATTTTACCCTAACCAGATTAAGGGTACTTACATGAAGGGCACAATCACCAGATTGGCTGTCTTGGTGGTTTTCAGTGGGCATAAGGTGGTGTGTTGGTTTCTGGCTCTGTCCCACTGCCGGCACAGTTGGGCTGGGAAGAAAATGTCTTTTTCTTATGTTGGCATAAAAACAAGATTGTGTAGTAGCACATATTGTCCAGAGACCACCAGGTGTGAAAGCAGAATGGCTGGCTACTAAATTCCCTCTCTGCTCTGTGTAGTGGGGAGAGATGTGACATTGTATGTGATTTCTATCTGTGCAAAATATGCTAAAAGCCTTCTCTTGCTGATATTAAATTGACCTCAAGCTTTCTAAGGGGAGCAGTAATAATAAGCAGACAAGCCAGAGAAATCTGTTTGCCCTCACCCACACTGCTAAAGGAGATTTAATTGTGAAACCCCCAAAGCAGTGTTGGCTGGGATACAAGAGAGTCATCTGAGTCATCTGTTACAGAGAATCAAGGTAAGGGCCAAAACGGTAATATAAATATTTGGTGGTTTAGGGGGAAAATTCAGAAAGCTGGAAAGTGTGAGAAACTGAAACATGTCATTTTGGAAATGATATCTCTGCATTGTTCAAGAAAAATTCTCAAAAAAAAAAAAAAAAAAAAGGAAAAAAAAAAAAAAAAAAGGTTGCACTGTAATCTTGGTTGGAGAGCTGACAAGAATATGAACAATTTCATGACCAAAGGCATGTAAACTAATAAAAATAAGTAGCAAAAAAGTGCTAAAATTGTCAGAAATGCGAAATTGTCAGAAATATAAAGCTGCTAAAGAATGTAAAAGAAGATGAGATCTGCAGTCAACATGCTGAGTGACAAAGATTTATCTAATTTTAATACAAATTTGAAACAAAAGAATTGTTGCTATTCTACTGCTATGTGAAAAATTTGACTAATCAAGTGGAATGCAAAAGAAACACTGTTGTTCAATAAATATTTCTGTTCTGTTTTGGGGTGAAAAACAGACAATAAAGCCATGTTCCAGATTGGTAATAAAACACTCTGTACCAATGCAAGCCTAAGAATGTAAAATAAGAGCAGCTCCAGTTAAAGAACTCAAAATCAGCAGCTCTGGATAAACATTCATCCAACAGTTTTTAATATTATTTTCCCAATCAGTTGGTCTGGAGATTTCAGATGACTGAGTGAATTATCATGTGTGGGTTTTCATTGATTTGGCTGGTTTGTAAAGAGAGAACAGCCCTGATTCCAGAAACAGGGATGGAAAAGCTGATAATAAAAGCGAGAGCAGCATCACCAATACCACTTGACCGACTTTAAGTTATTGGAAAATGTATTTTAGATAAATGTACAAGTTTGGCAAGTAAAGGAAGTAATGTTATAATGTAATAATATGTAACATTTCCATAGAATATTTGGATTGGTAAAACTTGATATTTTCATGAAGGATGCTTGTGTAGAATTAGCACTTTATGCTTTAAAAGGAT